CTCTTAAATTATAAGAGAAATTTTAGTTTTTCTTTTATTATTTTATAGTTTAATAGTTACTCTTTAGATATTTATTACGTCCTACCCTTGGAAAATTGTTTAACTACCCTAAAATGACCTTCAAACTCAAATTATCAATTTTTTTAATCAAAACAAACAAAAAACAAACTTTTTTTCCTTTGACGCAACTAAAGTTGTTGATTTTTTTGTCTTCTTTGATACACACAAGTTGTGTTGACTGCTACCTGCGACCATAAACGTTACAAACGCTAGAAGCGTCGAGTACACGAGTGGAAAACGCGTAAAAAGAGAAGAAGAGAAGCGAAGTACGGGCGTTGTCCGCATTTGAGTTTGCAGTGTCATCGACACACATATGACACTAGCACTAAACTCTGTACAAAATTCGCTCGATATTACCCAACTACCACAAACTAACGAAATATATTCATCAATAGAAACCGTCCGCGTTTAAATTTCACATATTTTTCTCATTCATTTAAATTCCCTGAATCCGGAGATAAATGTACACAAAAGAAACAGCGTCGCATGCAGCGGAAACACATTAAAACACATTACATAATCCACATGTTACGGTTACGCCACATTTTATATTATTTTTTGTTCTCGGTGCGCAACAAATTCCGTTTGTGATGTATCGACATGCGTGACGCGTCCAGCCGCCCCCGACTAATTTATATACAAACAGCACGCACATACATTTATTATTTAGTGACACGCTGCGCAGGAAATTGTACTCAGAGTGTAATTCGACGTTAAAAGGTGATTAATATAATTCCGAGTCGTTGTTTGTTGTTTGTTGTTTGTCGAGTGGCATTAAGACGTTTTGGTTTTAATGCTCGCTCAGTCTTGTCGTGCTGATTGTTTTGTTTTGTTGGATATAATTTATTCAAATTTATGGCGCGTTGTGTATTCGTGACACGTTCAAACGTTTATGTTGGCAGTTTTTGCTTTGCAAAGTTTGGGTTTGGGGGGCGCGCAAGAAATCATAGCGTGGGACCCAAGGGTGCAATTTAATCGCTTACGCTCGCGTCACTGGGGGGTAAAGACGAGTTGCCAACTTGTGTCAACTCTATAAATAAAGGTCGGAGTAAAAATCGTCGTGACTTGAATTTTTTTTTTTCTTTAAAGGGAAATAAAAATGTTTCGAGGGTTGTTTTAGGGTTTTTCTTTGATAGAAGTTGTTGTAAATGAGTTATACTTTTTGTTTATTTTATTTATATCTAGAAAAATACTTAGAAGTAGTTTTGAAGTTGGTTTAAAGTTGATTTTTGGTATTTTCTTTTGGAATTTTATAAACAAATTGACATATCTTGGAAATTATTAGTGTAATTTTATTTTTTCTTTTGTTATTTTATAGTTTAATACTTATTCTTTCGATAGTTATTATTTTCTATTCTTAAAATGTTGTATAACTACCCTAAAATACTCGTAAAAGTCAAAATTTAGCTTTTTTTAAATGAAATTTTACGAAAAATTGACATATCTCCGAAATTTTCAAACAAATTTCATTTTTTCTTTCATAATTTTATAGTTTATTAGTTACTTTTTCGATGTTTATTACGTATCACCCTTGAAAACTCCTAAAACCACCTTAAAATGCCCTTCAAAGTAAAATTTTAGCTCTTTTTCAACGAAATTTTATGAAAAATTGACATATCTCCTAAGTTTTAAAACAAATTTTATTTTTTCTTTCTTTATTTTATAGTTTATTAGTTACTTTTTTGACATTTATTACGCTTCACCCTTGAAAACTCTTAAAACCACCTTAAAATACCCTTCAAAGTCAAATTTTAGCTTTTTTCAACGAAATTTTATGAAAAATTGACATATCTCCGAAATTTTAAAACAAATTTCATTTTTTTTCTTTCATTATTTTATAGTTTATTAGTTACTTTTTCGATATTTATTACGTTTCACCCTTAAAAACTCCTAAAACCACCTTAAAATGCCCTTCAAAGTCAAATTTTCAACGAAATTTTATGTAAAATTGACATATCTCCGAAGTTTTAAAACAAATTTAAATTTTTCTTTCTTTATTTTATACATTATTAGTTACGCTTTTGATATTTATTACGTTACACCCTTGAAAACTCCTCCAACCACCCTAAAATGCCCTTCAAAGTCAAATTTTCCTCCCCAATTGTCGAATAAAGTGGGTTTTTATTTTTGCTTGTTTTTTTTTTCCTGTTTGCCTTCTGTTTGTCATCCATATGCGTATATGTTCATGATAAATCGACATTGTTTGACATCCTGACGTGAATGTACGCACGTCCGCGCACATCACGAGGGCGAGAGAAAAAAGCACCAACAACCGCGCGTTCAAATTTCTAAACCTTCGAATGCCTGCGCTATAGCTATAATTTAGGCGAAACCGCACGATGAATAACACATTCCGGTTTCCTCGTTTCGCCTTTCGTACAAAATGTGCCACTCGACACCGTCGTGAGTCGTGAATGGTTGCAATCCGTCTATGGCGGGGTTGGCAATGGTGGAGGCGCCGCGGTTAGCGTCGATTCGATTTACTGTCTGCAAGGTGACAACAAGTAAAACATTTTGCTTATATTCTAAAATTTTCTACATTTTGCATCGAGTTAATTTAATTAATTTTGCAGCACTCGACATTTTGTAATTTAGTTTTTACGTATCATGTGGTGCATACCAGCGTCTGAAATTAGGTTTTAATAAGATTCGAAGTCGATTGCGAGATTGTAGTCGTGGACGCTGCTGGCATCTTCTTATAATGAACTTTTGCGGAACAAAAAGGATTCGAGCGCGGCCGGGGCACGTCGCGCGTCGCACAACTTCCTTTCTTCCGGCCGGCGCCACCAGCGCGGAATATAAATTAACAAAGCGTAGGCGAGCGCCAAGCAAAACGCATCTCTGTGCTACGAAAAATTCGCTTCAGGGGGACCCCGCGCGGAATTAACTTAAAGTTTTTTCCGGTGCCCCTCAAGGCAAAGGAAATTAATTAACGCCTAGATAAATACGAACACAATTTACGATTTTTTGAAAATTTACGCGTAGAATAAAAACTTGTTTCCGCTTTGTTTTGTTCTGCGTGTCGAGTAAAAAAGGAGAAAAATCTCCGCCGTTAGTAATAATGAAGACAAATAATTTTCCTCGTCTGAGAGAGAGGAGGAAGTAAAGAAAAGTACATTAAGCGTCCACGGCCTAATCACCACTCTTCGACTGTTTGGGATTTTCCATCTCTTGGCCGATTTAGGTGAGGAAATGATTAATTTTTAAGCGCACGCGCTGCTGCCGCTGCCGCAGCGTGAACATTTATTGCTAAATGGCTAAATGCCTCCAAATCGAGCGCAGCAAACGGCCCGGATATTGGAAAAGTTCCGAGTTAAACGAGAAAACTACAAGTGAAACATTCATTCCACAAGAAACCCTCCGAATGAAACTTTTACATTGTAAATAAGTACCGTACGATTGTGTTTTACTCGAAATACAACCTGAAATACAAAAAAATTTGAGAATGAAAAGTTTATTTTGTCACTGTAGTAAAAAGCAATAAACTCGTTTTGCTTTGGTTCATGGTTCATTGTAGAGAAAACAAAGCGTAAACTTTTCTAATCTCTACGTGCGTGAGGATATGTGGGGGTGGTTTTTTTTCTCTCTCCTAGTCGTTCGTACGTCACCTGGATTAGATTTTAGCGTGCGACAACAAAAGCGGAAAGTTTTTATGCGCCTGATTTATGAAGCAGCAAATCTCACCGAGCGCGCTGATAGGCATCGCTTGTGCGCGGGATTTGTAAACAACCCTTAGTCTAGGGTAGTTTCTCGCGTCTAGTAGGTGCAATTTTATGGTTCGTCAGTGTCAAACAGGAGGAAACTAAGCGCTACGCTAGGTAAAGTGTGTTTAAAATGTTTTTTATTTACGAAAATTAAAATATTATTTTTTTTGTTTTTGAAATTTTTCATGCGCGTATTTCCTGTTTTCCTGTTGTATTTTCTGTGCGCATGTTTAGTAATTTTTGTCGTTGGTGAAATATCACCGCTGTCGGTGGCCGTGATTGATATCAAACCGATATGAGAACGTCGGAAAATATAGCCGCATTTTTATTTTTCGTTTTTTTTCCCTCTTTTTTTGTAATTTGGATCTAAAATAGGAAAAAATTTGTGCGCGGTCGTGACAATCGGTTGGGAGTTCGTTATGCTGCGCACGTAATATATTGTGGTCCCAAGTCTCAAGGAAATTCCACTGCCATGTTAAATTTACTCCTGATTCCCGCCCGCTGACAGTGGGTGTTCATATTTTACAACCCTGCGTTTTCTTTTGAATATTTTACCGGTTTTATTTAATTCTGCAAATTTGTACGTGAGTATTGTAAACAATACCAGCCCGGAAGTTGAATGTCGGAAGTGGGAAGTTGGAAAGGAGGAAAGGAGGACGGCAAGTGTGTCCCCGGGCCGTTATCCCATGTATCAGTAAATGCAATTATACCCGCCAGCCCGCCAGAGGTGCGTATTATCCACCCCTCAACACCCCCGGAATTCAGGGAGGTTGGTTGCGTTAATGATCGCAGTTTAAGCACTCCCCTTGGAGTTTCCTGCACGGCACCACACCGCAATATTGCTGCTGTGTGCGCTCGATTGGATTAACACCTCTCTGCCTACCCATGGATTTCATCGCACAAACATTTTTTATTTTCGGCAAAAATTAAAACTTTTATACTATTTTATTACACGCAGGGGTTGTGCGGGTTGTATGGGCTTTTACGGCGAACAATGGTGTCTAGCATCGAATGAGAGCCATTCAATAAAAGCCTCTTGTGGTGGTGGTGATGGCGGTGAAACCTGCTTAGTGGACTTTTGTGGTTTTGCACCCCCGTTGGGGTCCCGGTCCCAGGGATTACGCACAATCCGGACGCCACTTGAAAATTTATCGCCTGCGCGCTCTCTGCTTTTTGCGCCTGAAAGTGAATCGAGTGAATTCTTTTTTTAATGTGTTTCCGCTGTTTGTTTTACAGCCATGTGACGAAAACCGCATCGTGGTTGCCGCCGGCGGAAGCGTGGCGCGCCGGCGAGGACACACTACCCTACGGATGGGAACGCGCCCTCGACGATTCCGGGCGATCCTATTACATAAAGTAAGTCGATTGTTGCAATAGTAATCAAGTTAGGTTAGGTTATATTGATATAGGTTAGACAACCCAACACGCAATGTTTGCATGCTGATGACATTTGCCGGCATTGTGTGCACACGACTGCCAATTTCAATGTTTGCTCACTCGAGCGCAAATTGCATCGTATTCATACATCATAGCCGCACACCGCACATATTGATTTCCACAGATTACCATCAACTCCTGAATCATATTATATGTTTGTCGCATGACATCTGTTTAAATTTCCAGCCATGTGAACAAAACCACCACGTATGAGATGCCGGTGACGAGGGCTCTCCACCCGTCGGAAGCGCCTGAACCACGCAGTGTCACCTTGGATCGATCGGCGGCGTTGGGTTTCGGTTTTGTTGCCGGCTCAGAGAAACCCGTCATTGTGCGGTTCGTCACTGAAGGTGGACCTAGTGTAGATAAGGTACATTTTGAATCCATAAGTGATTTTTTTATTTTTATCAAATGATTTTTGTGGTAGTTATTGCCCGGTGACCAGATTATTGAGGTGAATGGTGAGGATGTTAAGATTGCGCCAAGGGAGCATGTTATTTCGTTGATCCGGGCGTGTAGTTCAACTGTAAGTTTAGTCGTCTGTCAGCCACAGGAACAGGCCGGCGCTCGCAAGTCCACGCTGTTATCAGCGAGCAAACGAGCGCGTCTCCGGACGAAACCAAGTCGTGTTCGATTCGCTGAGAGCGTCTGCGTTAATGGCGCTCCCCTATTTCCGGTACGAAGATAACCTAACCTACTTTAAGAACTAGTATTGTATTTTTTCTTGTTTTTCCACAGCCATCAGCGTTTTCTTTGGGGGATTTATGCGTGGCACCAATGGCGAATGTTTTGAAAGTGTTTCTGGAGAATGGTCAAACAAAATCGTTCAAATATGACGCGTGGACAACTGTTCAAGATGTCGTTGCGTCCTTGCAGGCGAAACTATGTCTCAGCGCAACTGAGCACTTCAGTCTGGTTGTTGAGCACATCAAATCGCTCAAACGAAATAAACTGACTCTACTTGATCCGGCTGATACTCTTGCACGAGTAAGTTTTTACATTTTGTGGGTTTTATGCGAAATAAAAATAAAATAATGTTTTTTATAGATAGCTTCACGTCCCGGCGCGCATAAACTTCGCTGTCTTTATCGGATAGCGTACGTTCCGACATCAGCAGCAGCGTTGGCACAATTAGACCTTGTCGCGCTGGACTATCTCTTCACACAGTGTTGTAATGATGTAATTCAGGAGCGATTTGCACCCGAGTTGCAATACGATACGGCTCTACGACTTGCCGCACTGCATGTCTATCAACATGCGCTTGCGAATAACATGCAAGCGTCAAAACTCACCGTTAAAACTGTCGAGTAAGTTCGTTTGTTTTTTTTTTTCAACTTGAGATATCATGATTAATTTATTGTTTGCGTGTTCAGGCGTGAGTTTGGTCTGGAGCGCTTCGTGCCCGCTTCACTACTCGAGAAAATGAAACGTAAAGAAGTGCGGAAATTAGTGGCGCATTTCCTTAAACTGCACTCGACTATGGCGGGTCCCGGCAAACAATTAACTGCCTTACAGGCAAAACTTCATTATTTGGACATTGTGAGTCAGTTACCGAGCTACGGAGCCAAGTGCTTCTCAGCGGGGCCCAAAGCGGACGTCATGGAGCGAGTGATACTCGTTAGTCCCAAGTTTGGCATTAGTCAAATTACAGGATCACGCAATTCAGTGGTATGCTGAACAAAATATCAACAAGCGAGGATTTAAATTAGATTAATTGTTTTTATTTCTATTTAGCCACAACCAATCGCCAACATTGAAGATATACGCAGTGTGGAAGTGCGTGCCGAAGATGAACTCATGCACAATGTGTGTATTCATCTCAAAAACGACCAAATTGTTTCCGTCACCTTGGAGGAACGTGATGCTAATGAATTAGTACTTGTTCTCAAAGGTTACTATCGCTTATCGACCGAAAACAATCTCATAGTGGAGAAAGAAGAGTCTGAAGTTTTGGAAGACTTAGCGCCGCCATATTTAAGCCAGCACAAGGTCGTCCCCGATAGGTGGAGTTATCTGAATCAGCAACAGGTAAAAAGTGTCATGTTTACAATCCCGCCGACATATCAACATCTCAATCGAAAGACCAATGGGTTGTACAACACGATGGGAAGGCAATCTAAGCCTCTGCTGACAGGTTTTAGTCTTGATAGTAACATGAACAGTTCGATTGTGAAGAATAACGAGATCAAGCGCGACGTGACGATTTACGAAGCGAAAAATGATTTTCTACGCGAGCAGTTGAAGTCCAGCGCTGAGTGGCAGGAGACTTCTGTTGATATTGAAAGCGATACAGATAGTCTCCCAACTGAAGAGCATACACTCCGCCATAGTGACTCTCTTTTACTATTGGCTAAAGGTGCAAAGGAGGATTCTGAACATCTACAATTTACTAATGCAGCGATAGAAATGTTAAGATCAGAGGTGAATTACTCTGAGAGTGATAACGATTCAGTTTACACTCCGCATAATTCCCCCAAGCATTTAAATAATGGCGGTGATAGTGAAATTGCAAATGGCGGAAAGTCACGCATTAGTTTTGGTCTGCATAGTCCTGATAGTTCCACGAATTGTGGAAGTCAAGGACAGGAGAGTCAAGAATTGCGTGCGTATTTAGAAAAATTGAAACAAAGTGAATCCTCGCGGGTGAATGATGATGTTAATTTATATTTTGACCCGGATATTATTGACCTGACAATGCTGCCTCCCCCTGGAACTCCTGATGAATTAGACGGAGCGTTACCTCCCGCTATAGACGTCCCGCCGCATTCTTTTGCTGATTCAATGGAGAAATTGAACAAATTGGGTGTGTTGCATGAGAATTTAGACTTGGAGGAGTTTCTTGCAAGTGTGACAATACTTCCGCCCACATTGAAAGTCACGCCTGCTGTTGAGTTAACCCCCGAAGAGATAATGTCGTATATTATCCCTCCGCCGCCGGATATCCGCGAAAGTCCGGAAGTTCCGCCCAAACCGCGCCGGGCCAGCGCTGGCACCGGCACGTTTTCTTGTTGTGGTGGTGGTGGTGATAAGAATAGTGATGATGGAGTTGTTGCATTACCACCACGGCGGGGATCCATTGAGGAAAAACCTCCCGATCGTCCACCGAAAACTGTCGCGGAACGACAGAGGTCTCAGTCGATGTTGTCAACATTTAAAGACTTTAAGGTATCTAAGGAGGTTCCACCTAAATTACCGCCACGTGCAGATGACAGTAGTCAACTTGGGCAAGCGCATTTGTTTCTTCCACCTAAGAAACCTCCATTGCCGCCATTACCGCCATTAGAAGTACTCAGAAGTCGTAAGAATACGTTGTCGCAGACTAAAACCACTCCGGAAGTACGAACGGCCGGCATTGGCTCGCCACACCTTCAACGCAATAAGAATATGTATAATGATCTTGACTTGGATGCTGAGAGTAATGTCAAAGTGGGTTGCACGGCAGTTAGTACACCTACATCACCATTTTTAGGTACGTAGGCTTTTGTTTTCTGTTATATTTACTACCTAGATTATTATTTCGTTGTTGGTTGGTTGTTAGTTGTTTTGGTGTTGACGGCATACGTTTTTGTAGGCCGCGGTGCACTGTTCACCGCGATACCCATAGATTCCCCCGATGGTCCCCGTATTACTACCACCACTACCGAGTACGTGAACAACGTTAACCAGTACGGTAGAAAGGACCTCAATAACGGCCACCATCTGCATTACCAGCATCACCATCATCACCAACAGCAGGTGGTAGCTGCAGTTGCATCCAATGTTAGAGACGTTAGTTGTAGCCGTATCAGCACGACCAACTCCTGCATGTCCAGTCGTGAGAACCTTCTCCAAAAAACCGACGCAGCGATGGCGAGCCTCCTAACTAGATTAGATCAAGTGGCTGCGCAGTGTCATAGTGCTCAAGCGCAAGGAGGTGGCCGGCATATGTCCGAGGAGAAGTTTCAAGTAAGTTTTTATTAGTTTTCTGGTTGATGGTTGTTTCATTGATGAATGTTTTGTTTTATTTTTAAAGTTTTATGTGTTTTCATCTATTTATACTTCTTTTCAGACGGCGAAAGATGAACTCACCACACAGTCACTCCAACTGGTCCATTCCAGTAAGATGTTGGTGATTGCCATGTCCGATACCACCCTGCCGGACCTCCCCGAGCATTTGGCGGTGTGTTTGACTATTCTTCGGCGTCTCACAGAGCTGTGCGCTGATTTAGCTGATCATACCACTGCTCCGCTCCAAACACGCAATCTTGTGCTCAAAGTTCATGATGTTACTGGAGCGTTCCGCCATCTTGTCGGTACCAATATTGATCGTACATCACCAGCTACCATTGAAGAGCATCTCGCAGGCGAAGCAGAGTCCCTTGCCGGCGTACTCACGACTCTTCTACGGAGTCTACGCGTTTTTTCGCCATAGCAAAACGCCAATCTAGTCTGAATGGGAATCATCACAATCATCTCACCAAATATTAAGCGCTCAATGTTTTAACAAATTAAAGCCAAGTCTGATATGCGACAATTCACCTCCATCTACTTCACTCCCAGACAGTTTTACAACAAATGCCAAAACTAACAAAGTTTACACATGTAAGAGATTGTTTGGGATTTAATTTTACATGTATATATATGATATCAAAGGAAATTCTTAAGAATTCAAAAAACTATAATGTGATAATATCGACAATTTGATTATAATTGTTTTAAATATGCTTAAAAATCAAAATATCATCAAATGCAAATATCAACAACCTCTAGTCAAGATATTATGATAATATTGAACATTTGTTGAGTGAAATGTGAGGAAGTACAAGTTTAAACTAAGTTACCTATTGATATTGTATATTAATTTCGATTTGTTTACGTTATATGTGTCTGACATTTCACTTGCGCCCAGTTTATCAATTGTTTTGTTTGTAATGTGTAGATTAAATTACGATTATCTCGCGAACCAAAAGGGCTACGGAAAAAAGGACAACATATTCTTAATCCTTACAAAATTCTCTACAAGATGGCACCCTTTTTGAAAAACGACAAAAAATGCATAAAAAAATTTAACGAAAAGATTTTGTTATAAAAAAGGCAAAAGATTTCTCTTTTTTATGTTCGAAATTAAAAATTGGAATTTTCAAGTTCTGTTTTCGGATTCTGATAAATAATTTAATTCTACATTGATTATTTTAGTCATGTTTTTTAATAACACTTGCCGTTTAGGCCCTACTGACATTTTTATTGTAATTTAATTGGTGACTAAACCTGACTTAGTTTGGGTGATTATTATCAAAACGGTTTATCTTAGAATAAAATTTTATTAAAATAAAGTATGTAAAATCTCATGTTCTTCAATAATTGATAATAAAATTCTCAAATTTCCAATTAATATTTTTTTGCTTAGAAAATGATAGAGATAACTAATAAACCAGTTTTTTGCACTTATCTTGAAAACCATCAGAGATAAAGAAAAACGGTTTTCATATTCGTATGTAGAATTAAATTTTACATTATATAGCATGTTAAAATGTTTACTTAGCAACACTTATGTAATAATTGAAAATGGTCAATAACTTGAAAACTAATTAAGATAGCGCAACCAAACCAAGATTAATGGATTCCTAGTCGTGTTTTACATCAGTTGGGAAAGTTTGGGGAAAATCGGAGAGGTGGTTTTATTTGATCAGTTTTGAATTTACCACTCATTTTCCGAAATATTGATTTTATCGAAAAACTGACTTCACATCTTTCATCCCCTGGGAAAACTCAATCGATTAGCGTTTTCCATTTTCTTCTAGCTTAAAGTTAATTTTTTGAGGCCTCAAAGAGTCAAGTGTAACCTCTTGATGCTTTTCGAGTGCTGTTTGGTCAACTTTCGAAAATGGGAAAACTAAATCTGCCATTTTATAGATCCTTATCACGACATGAACAAAATGAAGAAAGTTCTTTTCTAACTTTTTTACTTTCCGAGAAAATCGTGTGGGAAAATTTTGTAGGCACATGTTATATTTGAAATTTTTTAAATGTTATCTTATCTTGGATTTGATGCTGAGCATAATAGTGTTTTCGGTTTTTGTTTATCTCTTCTAGTTCCCGAGATAATTGATTCTAAAGTCTCCATGTTAGTACACATTTTACTTAAAGACATCTACAGGTAAAACTCTTTGGACTATTAAGTGAAAAGTTGTTTCAATTTGATAATTAAGAGCCTTTCTACACAATGAGGTTGTTAGTTTTTACTAATTAAATAAACTACACTTTAATATGTCAGGCGCCTCCGCCATTTTTTTCATAATTAATTACTTTTTTCAAAAAATTAAGAAAAATGACTTTTTTATCACTAATTATCAAAGAGGGCAATTTTATAGAGTGATTATTTTAATACATAATTTTAATTTAAGCAATGATTTAAAAGATACACGATAATAATTGTTTAAATGTATTCTACAAATTTGTGGTTTTTAAAAGCCAATAGGACCTAAACAAAGCATGCTAGGAAAAAATATTACTAAGATAATTAACTCAAATTTAATCGTTAGATAAGAATCCGCAATCAGAATTCAAAAATTCCAACTTTTAATTTTCAACATAAAAAAAGGAAATCTTTTGCCTTTTTTATAACAAAATCTTTTCGTTAATTTTTTTTAAGCACTTTTTGTCGTTTTTCAAAAAGGGTGCCATCTTGTAGAGAATTTTTCAAGGATCAAGAATATGTGGTCCATTTTTCCGTAGCCCTTTTAGTTCACGAGATAATCGCAATTTTATCTCGGCGGTTTCGACGGAAACAATTTAAGAAAAAAGTTCGACCCTGTTGTTCAGCCGAAAATATTTTTATGATAAAAGTTCGACCCTGTTCTTCGACCGAAAAAAATTTTAAGAATAAAGTTCGACCCTGTTGTTCGACCGAAAATATTTTTAAGGAAATAAGTTCGACCCTGTTCTTCGACCGAAAATATTTAAAAAAAAAAGTTCGACCCTGTTCTTCGGCCGAAAAAAAATTTAAGAAAAAAGTTCGACCCTGTTGTTCGACCAAAAACATTTTATACATAATAAATTCGGCCCTGTTCTTCGACCAAAAATAAACAAAAATACTAATAATTTCATTAAATTACGAGTTGCAAGAGGAAAAAATAAGAAAAAACTTGATAATTATCATCATTTGATTGTTGTTTTAACAGAAAACAAAAACAATTGAAGAAAATCGAGGAAACCACCCTCAAAACAACAAAAACCCTTAACACTTAGCTAAAAAACATAGAAAAATGTAAGAAAAATTAGACTTTTCCACAACATGTTGTAAAAATAAAGAAAAACTCAGTAAATTTCAATAAAAGCAATATTTATTCATGTAAAAATCAATATATTATAAAACTTATACATTTAATTTGACACCTTAACATTATTTCGTCCGATAACAACCGATACATTAACATCTTCCCCTTTCTTTTGATCATCTGTAATCCTCAACGGGATTTTCACAATAAACTGCTTATTAAAACAAAGATCTCCCAAACAAGTGTACAGTTGAAACTTAACATAAACCTCATCATTGTTCCCAATTGTTTCCTTCTCATTGCGCAATAAATTACAACACTTTACAGAAAACCTTTGAATATCTTTACCGCCTTCAGGTGTGATCATTACAACACCACGATTTGCTTTCGCTGACCATTTCTGTGGTGCTTCTTCATTAAAGTGCAAATTATCATCTAACGCAACATTAAAATGAATATTAAATGCACCATTTGATAAATTTGAACAATTAACAACTGGAAGTGTATACACTTTGTCAGAATTAACAATTACATCCGAAGTTAACGGCTGCAGTTCAATATTGTCTAACTTAAAGACAGAAACGCTTAAAATTTCGCTTTCGTCTTCATTCAAAGTACAGATTTTTATCTGATGATTGTTTGTATCGGCGACATAAAGTTTTCCATCGCCATTTTGAAACAAACCGCAAGGCTCGTTAAACTTCGGAGATATTACAGTCTTCACATGATTTTTCCGCGTGTCAACAATCTTAATCTTATGATTATAAGTATCCGCAACAAAAAGTTTATGCGCATTTCTTGCAGTTGCTCCTCTGGCAAGACCCAGGCAGTGTTGTAGTTTCCCTTCGGTTGAGACGCCATCCACATCACCAAACGAAAACAAATTCTATAAAAATTCAATCAAAAATTAATATTTAGTGATTAAAACACACAAAAAAGTGAATAATCTTTTTAAATGCTTACATTTGGATTCTTATCGCCTCCAACCACACCGCTGACCTTCCCATCTCTTAAATCCAATCTCCTCACGCTGGAACTCTCGCTGTCCGCGATGTACACCATCTTCTCTTGTTGAAACAACGCTAAACCAGAGGGTTGCGCGAAAGCCGCTTTATTCGGATAGTTATTATTGCGGTTTTCCTCGTTTCCAGACCCAGCAATGCATACAACTGTACCAGCTTTGTATTCCTTTCCTTTCCACCATTTTGTATCCTCCATGAACACGGCCCAAATCTGATGTGTGCCGGCCATAGCAATCAACAAAACTGATTTCCTTTCATCAGTAATGAAAACTTCCAAGTCCCAAGGGCTGGAAATCCCTTGTTGCGTGCCAATTTTACCACCATCGGTATCATTACTCTGCACACCATTACCAGCAATGGTAGAAACCGTACCAGATGTAAAATCAATCTTCCTAATCGCGTGGTTTTCTGTATCAGCCACAAAGCAGATATCTTTATTGAGGAAACAAACACCCTGTGGTTGATTAAACAAAGCATTTGTAAATTCCCCATCATGCATGCCAATCTCTCCACATGCACTGCCAACAATCACAACATTAGACTTAATATTTTCATCAGCGTAGTCATCAATAAATATTAATCTATTGTTGCCAGAGTCACTAATGCACAACCTGTTTGCAAAAGACTTAATCTTGCCAGGAAACATTAAATTCTCATTGTGTTGAATACTGTCAACTGTCTTACTTATAGGAAGACTTTTATGTGACAATTTATCTTTATAATAAGCCAGGAAATGCTTAATATAAACTTTCAAAGTCTCCTTGTGGCCTTCGCCCATGAGCAACACCAGTGGTTGACCTTCAGGACTGATGAGCAACAATGATGGCCAGCAATTAATCCCACATTGCTGCCACATCTTAGCACCATCATCATTTACAACTGCATGCTCAATATTGTACCTCATAACTGCATTCTTCACATTATCCGCTACAGATTCATTGGTAAACTTGGCACTGTGTACACCAATGACTACCAGACCATCTTCAACTGAGAAAGTATGTTCAATCTCTTTTAGATCAGGCAGGATATGCATGCAATTAATGCAACAGTATGTAAAAAATCTAAGAGAACCAGCTTTCCCTTCAGATGTTTCTTAAAAGACAGGGGTTCCTTTGTGTTGAACCACGAAGTACCTAAGAGAAAATTAAAATATTAAATTAAGTTTTTCGATAGAAATATACATACCAAGTGGAAAATCTTTGATTGTCTCATATTTTAAGCCCTCGATGTACTTTTTAAAGACTTCTTCTAGTGGTAAACCACTTTCTTTAAGTAATTTCTCCAGTTTATCATTGGAAAACATGATGGAATCATCTTCAATCAAGTCAGGATCCATCTTGCAGGTTAAACAAGTAAAAACAGCAACTAAACGATGTGAAACTCCAACATAAACTGGGCGTTATCTCTAGTTAAGTTGTGATTATTTATAGCCACTAGAAACATTAAAAATTTATATATTTTTGATAAAAAAAACTCACTACTTGCTAACCTTTAGCCTCCACACTGCATCACCTGTCATCCTTTTACTTAAATCTTAAAATAAGTCAATACACAGAGACGTACTTAAAACAGAAAACCACTACTTATATATTTAGATGGTACAAATGCATAAAATCATTATTTTACGTATTATACTGTTCTTAACTTAACTAATTTTCAATCTGACTCTTCATTCAGTTCTTTTTTTGTTAGATGCCTGTTCTTACTTCACACACAAGCAGGAGAGGACTTTGGATGGGACTACTGATGGAAAATCGGAACGTAAAAGCATTCTTCATGTTCGAAATCTACAAACAAAAAACAAACCAACATCCTCGATTAAATACCGTAGATTTATTATAAATTTTATAACGTTAAATGCGTTGCAACTTCATCAACCATCCGGAAACCTAACAAATAATAAACATTCAACGTTTGTAAGGATGATAGGTTTGATGCGGACCGTTGTTTTGCCCACCGGCGCGATGGGGACGCCCGCCCGGGTACGTATCCGACGGGGAGGCGGACATCCGCCCCCCATTGTCATTGTATTTCATCTCAGGCTCATTGCCGCCATTCTGATAATACTGCATCTCATCGGCGGCGTAATCATAACCGCCTGCGGACGCCCCCTGATCCTTATAGTCACAAGATGGCGGCGACGCCATTGATGTATAACCTACGAGAAGGAAACGTTCATAACTAACCAAACTTAAACACACACAAAACACAAATAATCGCAAATTAAATTAAAAAAAATCACATCATTCACAGCAGACGCAGACGAGAATGGAATTTATCAATATTTATTTAATCACTGTTCTACGAATATGTTAAATTTAAGATATTTCATCACCAATCATCTTCATAAATATATTATAGACATTATGCTAGTTATATATATTTATATATATATATGTATCAGACAGTCAACTACTTATATTCAATAATAACGCCATTGTATTACTAAAAGTTCCCCGCATTATTGCTAAAACTAAGCTGTAAACAAAATGCAACCGCACAGGATTCATATTTATATTCATATATAATATATTTTCACTTAGTTATTCTTTTCCCATTTCTCCTACGACTTAATAATATGTTGTGTGTGTTGCATACGCTAAACTACATTTAACATTACAATTAATCGAGAATTACTTAACTATTATTATTATATTATAATATGCGTGCCACTAATATAATTGTTAAGTTAATAATTTCAATATATTTATATATTTATATATATATATATATATAGTATCCGGTTATGCTATATTATGCTAATAAGTCATTTGTTTATAATTTTATAATCAATTTGCCTATGTTAACCATTTTTTTCGCTAATATCAAGGAGTTTCATTAAAATTTTATTTTTATTCATGATTCGTTTGTATATGTTAGGTTTTTTCCTCATCTCATTTGTAAATGTTATTCTTTAAATGTTAATGTTTGTTTTGCATCTATAAATAGTCAAAACTTAATTGATTTGATAGCTACGTAACAATCTCTCATTACATTTGTGGTTTTATTTTTAATTTACTTAAACGTTAATTTTTCACCTCCTGCGTCACATATTAGGCAAAAAATACAAACGAAAAGCGAAAATCCCGAAAAAAATGACACAACTCGCGTGGTGTGGACGTTCTAACCTTAAATGTCACCCAAATATAAATATTATTGACCGTTTTATTTAGTTATTTATTTAGTGATTGATTGATTCTCGTCGTCTCAATTGTCTACTTTCTTAATTTTTGTTTATCCATTAATCAACATGTTTCATTTAAATAGTTATGTGTGTAGGTTATGTGTGTATGTTTAAACAAAAGAAATGCGGAGTGTACACGTGTATAAATTACAGGATAATAGTTGATATTTTAATCAATAGTAAACCTAAATCACACGTTTGTTCATTTCGCTTAATTTTTATGCCTTAATTTTCATAATTTGCACACACACACACACAGAGACCATCCTCGTTAGTTCATTAATTAATTAATAATTAGTATGCGGCGGGTATTTAGTGTGAAAAACGATGACAAATTATGCCTAAACCGGTTTGTAATTGAGCAAAGTTAGTTGTAAACATCTTAATACACTTGATTGCATCTTCAGCTCGCACGCCGCCATCTTGTTTAATATTTTTTACGCAAACACTCGCGCCACCTGTGTGGGGGTATGTATGTCTTCATCGTGTGTACAATATAGTAAATATGCTTAATTAATTAATTAATTATACATCGTATTAATTAGTAATTATTGTTTGCCTCTTTTGTGTTCAGTGTTTTCATAACGAGATATAATATGTAACCAACGCAGACTTATATAGGAAAAACTTAAGATACAATTATCAATATCTCACTTTTGCTTCATTTTGTTATGTTCCATTTTTGTAAGTGTTAATCATAATTATTGTATTTACAGAGATAATTAATATATCAGTCGAATTATTGATTTTCATTCTTCGTATTTACAGCTCTCCAACAGTATCAAGAGCCTTAGATAATTATAATTAATTAATTAATTTAGTTACTATAGTTAAGAACTATGCATGTATACAAATATTAAATCATTCTTGTTGTTTAGTTGTTGTTGTTGTTGTTGTTGTGTGTGTTTGTTTCTGTTTCGTATTTCGACCACCATTTTATACGCATATCATTTATATGTCCGCCATCTTGTTGTTGCATTTGTGTGTGTATTCATAATCATAATAATCTAAACCGTTTTGCTAGGTTTCTTTTTTACTCCGAAAAACTTACGATAGATTTATTAAATTTTTACTGTAGAAATAGATGTATAAAATGCCTATTTTCATGGATTTCATCTTCATTAACTCACGAGATCAACAATACTCCTATTTGATCTTTATTTATTAAATAATCAACTTTAACTTCAACCTGATTAGCAATTTGATCATCTTATTAGTTGTGCACGATGGCATCGAGTGTAGAAAACAATCCACAACATACACAGTCACAGTCGACATTTGAGGTTAGGTTTTCCGTAAAAGTCATTTTAAAACTCAAATAACCTAAAAATGTATGTCGTAGACCGGTATTCTACACCAGCGCCATTTATATGATATTATAAGTCTGCCTCTGATTGCATTAGTGTCTAGAAACTAAAATTAATCATTTCCTATCAACAAGAATTGCTTTCGTTTCGTTAAGTGTGTGTTTTCGGCATGTTTTTTAGTCTCCTGATCGTTCAAATTTATGAATTAATTAATAAAGAAACAAACGTTTGCGTTTTTGCGTGTTTGTGGTCGATTGCGCACGCGCAATCCAACCGGATTTCCTTGTAAGTAATAGATTAGATATTAGTTAGCATTAATATTGTGGGCATTTTGTTGTTGTTGTTGTCGTTACTTGTCTAGGCGCGAAAAGACGCCGCTGCGTCGGGGCGCGCGTGCATCGGCCGCGTCTCACCACGACGAGATCGAATTGCGCAACGTACCTACAACACATGCAAGATGTAATAGTCACACACACAGACAGAGAGAGAGAGATCGTTTGCTTCATGTAGTGATAACACACATCGCAGTGATAACATTTTCAAAGAGTAGCAGCAGCAGCAGCAGCAGTGCGTTTTGCCAAGCACGCGCGCGCCGAGAATCAGAATCAGCAAGATTTGCGCATAAATTTTTAGTTTTTCGACTATTACTCGAAAAGTATTAAAGATATTTGGACAATTTCTTCAGTAATGGATTTATAACTCAATTCCGCATCAAATGTATGTTTCAAAACTTATAATACAATGTTTTTGGAAGCAGAATTAGCTTTTTTCGTGAAATTTGCGCAAAATTTTTCAGTTTTTCGACGATTACTCGAAAACTATAAGAGATATTTAAACTATTTCTTCAGTAATGGGTTAATAGCTCAATTGCGCATCAAATGTATAAATAATTTGTTTAAAAACGGTCATAATACAATGTTTTTGGACTAAAATCAGTTGTTCTCGTGAAATTTGCGCAAAAATTTCAGTTTTTTATGAATTACTCAAAAACTATAAAAGATATTTAAACAATTCTTTCACTGATCAATTTGTAGCATAATTATGCACCAAATGCATAAATATTTTGATTGAAAAAGTTAAAATACAATGTTTTAAATTGAAATTACATAATTTTCAATATTTGCGCAATATTTTCAGTTTTTCATTGATAACACCAAAACTACAACTGATAGAAAGCTAATTCTTTCACTAATCAACTCGCAATTTAAATGCCTTCCTAATTGATGCATAATATGTTGAAAAAACGTTCAATTTAACATTTTAAACAATATTTCCTATCAAAAATGTAAAAATTTCATGTTAAATGTTATTGTACAATTAATAATGATGAAATAATGATACAACTAAATTAATGTTAGTCCACCGCACCCTCTGCCCTCTTAAAAACTCATCATGTGAATGAAAAAGAAAGGAATATTGAAAAGAAAAACGAAAATTGCTTGTTTTGTTTGTTTTTATGCATATGAATATTATAATAATAATAAGAAACATTCTTCCATCATTATCAATCATATTACTAATTAATTCGTCTAAGTCTATGCATATACCCCACCATCATCATAATCATCAATCAAAAAATTGTCTAAAAAAAAGGAGTCATCGTTACGCGATGCCTTTCTTCCGTCGTATTCATCGTATATTTGTAGTAATATTCAATTTACTAAGTTATTCATTACCATTATTAAAAGTCTAAAATAATATATCCATCAAATACCTAATTAAATCAATAATAAAATGTCGCTAAAACTATGCACTACATGATGTACGCTAACCGTTAATGTTGTGTTAAGAGAAAAAAAATTGACGCAGTAAAACCCGCAGTGCGACGCGTACAAAAACAAAAAAAAAAAAGAATGAAATCATCGTATGTGTGTTGTGTGATGCTGCCGCTTACAGAATTAATCATCATCATCATTTAAAATATTATAAGTAGTATAGTAGTAGTAGTAAAATTGTAAAATTAATAATTAGTAAGTAAAAAATACACAACAATCATTTACAAAAATTATTAGTTTCCATTTTGTGTCCCACCCACGGGATCGTTTTTGTTGTTTCCTTCATTTTCATTTACTTTTCTTTTTTTGTATACAACTTACAGACAGACAGAGAACATTTCCTAATTTTAGAGTTTTTTTTTTCATCATCATTATCATCGAATTGCAAATAGAATAATATTCGTCCTTTACGTGTCTAATTAATCATTATAAACATTAATTGCTATTACTTTAGGATCACCATTTGTTTCGTAATTAACTTAGATACTTTCTATATGTGTAGAGACAATAATAACAGTTCTAATTTATGCGTTAAAATTATAAACAATCAAACAAACAAATAAAAAATCGTCGTTATAAATGCGCGCCGCATATATACTAATAGTCCTCGTCGTCGTGGTTGTAACTATTTGTAAATTTTATTATTATCATTCGATTAACCGTTATAATTAATTTTTAAAAGGAGTCAAGTCGATAATACTAATAAGTCTTCTCGTTTCAGTTATGTTACTAATTTTGGGGAGAGCAACCGCCGGGGGAGCACGCCATCCGCGCCGCACGCGCGCGCAGGATGCTTCGTTCAAGTTACATACGTCTAGCCTACGTTATATGTACACGTACATCTAAATTTCTAAACAAAACAAACAAACAAAATGGTTGTCAAAATTCGCGTGACTAGAGCGGGACGTACTTAGTAAATGCTCGATATAAATTTAAATCTTATGAATCACACAAACAAGTTATTGTGTAATAAAAGTAGTGTAAAGTATTTGTAGAGATACAAACAAACAAAAAAAAAATGATTACAGAATTAACACATATAAATTAGTAATCGTTAAATTAATGTGCTGTGGCGCGGAAACGGCTCCCCTTTCATTGCTTCTTACTCTTAAGCTTATTTTAGTTTATTGTACAAGTTATGAGGTAATCGATAATAATAATAATAATCATAATAAACAATTGATAGTTTTCTCTTTAATTTTACGCTGTTAATTGTAAGTTTGAGCAGATAGTTATCCCTTATCGTTTCTTGCCTTAGAAATAGTCAACACTTCTGTCTGTCTGCGTTCATTTTTCATGTGTGTGTGGCTGAGTGTTTATGTGTGTGTGTGTGTGTGCGGATGTTATACAAGAGTTGCTGCTGCTGCTGGAGTAGTGTTGGGTGTGAGCCGTCTATGGTAGTGCGCAAAATTCTGATTCTGATTCGTGCTGGCGGTCGTGGCGGCGCAGCAAGGTTGTCAGGAGCTGGGCCACTCTTTGAAATCGTTAAAGTGTTTCGCACCTGCGTTGGGCGGCTGCGAGGTGTAGCCGCCAACCTGGGAGCCGGCGTCGCTGCCGTAGCTGCGCGGCGGCGCGCCATAACCGTCCGCGGAGTACGACCCCGCCTGGTAGTAGTTGGCGTAGTCGGCCCCCGCCGACGTTTTGCTATTGGAATTCGAGTTGGGCGGCGCGTTCGGCGTGGCTGGCCCGCCCGGCCCGCTCTGCTGGCGCGAGTACATGTCGCCTGTAATGTACCCTGTCAGCAAAGATGAGAGACACACGGGCGCACGGGAGGTGAGACAGACAGAGAGACAAAGAGAGAGAAAACAATTTCAATATATATGCATATGTATATATAGTTAGAAATGTCAAACAACAAATGATATGTACAACACAACCAACCAACCAACCAACCAACAACGCACAAACGCAACAAACCATATATGTAAAAACACACCACCATTCCCCACCCCGCGGCAATGGCAGAGGAGCAAAAATTTTGAGCAACGCGCGCAACGCAAAACCAAGTGAATGAAAAGCAAGAGACACAGCGAAATAAGAGAAACAGAAGAAGATAGAGAGAGAGAGAATTAAATGTGCGTCCTACCTGAGGGGCCAGTGGACTGATTATTCTGCGGCATGTTCCAGCTATTCCAGCTAGCGGCTCCGCTGCCGGTGCCCGGACCTGCAACCAGACCATTTCCTTCAAACGAAACAAGATAACATTAGTTCAAATCTGACCGCCGTGCTCTGAAAGCTGAATACCGCCCCGAGAAGAAATTTAGAAATAGAAAATAAAAAGATGATCAAGCAAACTATCGCTATACTAAACAAACGGTTTGTTGTTGTTGTTGTTGTTGTTGTTGGTGCGTTGGTAAGTAAATCAAACCAACTTACCGTAAGACCCATAGCCCTGCTGTTGCGGCGGACCGCCATAGTTGCTACCCCACTGCGGATGCGGTCCCTGCGGGCCTGGGGGAGCGCCCCAGCCCTGATAGGAACCCGGACCGCTCGGGGTGCCATAGCCGGCATAGCTCTGCTGCTGAGGCGACGTGCCCCAGCCCTGATAGCTCTGCATCATGTTCGGTCCCATCGGTGCGCCGAGATTCATCGGCGGCCCGCCCATTTGACCGTTAGGCCCTTGCATCATTCCGAGCGGAGCTTGCTGTGGTCCCCATGCTGAACCAGGATCGTTCATCTTAGCTCCGCCGGAACCATCACGTGGTTCAGCCTTCTTGATTTCCACCTAGACATCACACAATAAAAACATTAATAATTATTTAATTTTAAAGTAAAAAAAATGTTAAAACTGACCTGTTTGCCATTGAGATTGACAAAGTGCTCCGAAACACAACGATCCACGGATTCTTCATCCTCAAACGACAAAAATCCGAAACCTGATCACAAAACACACACAAATTAAAAAAATATTCCCACAAACACATAAATAGAATAAATATTACCACGTGATTTCTTCTTCTCTTGGTCGTACATGATTACAACCTCCATGACCTTGCCAAAACGAGTAAAGAACGTCCTCAGGTCCGTCTCGGTGACATTCGATGGTAAACCACCGAGGAACACCTTCGGATACCCACCGCCCTTCTTCGGCTTCTGCAGGGTCCTCGGATTGCATGGTTTTGGATCAATTGTCCTACAATATCACCCCCATAGAAACCATTGTAAACACAATATATGATTATAGAAATAAATCACTCACCTTCCATCGAGTGTATGCGGTCCATTCTGTAGCACAACACTCACATTGCTGGGATCAGCAAAAGTGACGAAACCGAAGCCTCTGGACCTGCCCGACTCGGCGTTCTTCATCACCACGCAGTCGATGACCTCGCCATACCGCTGGAAGTACCTGCTGAGGTTGTCCTGCGATGTCTCCCACGACAATCCGCCGACAAACAGCTTTCTACAAGTGACACAGAGAGCAAATTCAATTGATTAGACAGGTGTGTACGACGGGTTGCAGGCGTTTTTGTGCGTGTGATTAAAACAATTGGTAAACAAAACAAGATGGCGTATGGCCGGCGTGAATTTGCAAATTTTTGTGATTTCGGCACCGGCGCTGATTTGAATCGGTGTTTGCATCTGATGAATCGTGTTTTCGCTTTCGCCATGTGATGTTGTGGGAGAGAACGCCGCGGACGCCGCGCCGCGAGAGTCGAGGTCGGTGAACGGAGTAGCCGGTCACGCACACATACACACACAAAACACAAGCGCTCAGATGCATATTTTTATATATTGCACACACACACACATGAGATATTCGCGTAAGTTTCGCGTAAAGTGATGAATTATGTGCGATTTTTTCCCCGGATTGCTTTTCAGGTTGTGATTGTGCGAGTTTGTGTACGTGTGATGTGATGGTGATGATGGTGAATTAGAAAAATTTACCCTTTCTCGTCATCGTCCATTTCTTGCTGTGGAATTCGCAACATTTGCATAATAGGCCCAGCGAGCCCAGTCTGCGACGCGATGAGTCTGAATCGAATGATAAATACGATCGATCGATGTCGCCGCTGCCGCCGCCGCAGAGAAAACACACACACGTCAGTGTGCGTCGCTCACCACCACCGGGTCTCTCGTTTGCCTCGTCGGTCTTCCGCCGCGCGCACACAACACCCCCCAAAACACACCGCGCCGCCAAATTCGCTCTCGTCTCGCCCTCGCGGAAAAAAAATGCCGACGGAACGGACGCGCGCACGACGTTACCGTACTTGCAAAAGCTACCAAACTACAATGGCAGCCGGGTGACTTCCGTTCGCTGCGTGCGGGCACGGCGCAACGTACGTCGACACTTGACACCCGCCAATCACAACCGGCAACAGCGCGCGTCGCGCTTGTCAATGGAGACTTACGGCAGCAAACGATCGAAAATCGCGGAATTTTTGGATGCACGAATCACGCGCCGATACGCAGTATTCTGCAATGCGATACACAGATTAAATTCACAGCAATGCGCTAGATTAGCCTCGGCTTGGCGTCGGATATCGCGGCGACGCCGATACTCGCACACTCGCCGCTCGTCTTTTGTTTGTTTGTTGACCGTCGCGTTTTTTCTAGAATGATTTGCTCAATACATACCCGTAGTCGCTATCGCCCATTCTCTAGCTAAACTGTAACGTTTCGAGTTATGTCCTAAACGCTAAACTTAATATTACGGTAATATTAACCCTAACGTAATAACTAGACTAATTAACAACTAATGTATTACTGCACCATCTTTGACGTGCACGGCGACTTGTCGGTTTCGTTCGTTGCAGCGACCCCTTCCGACAGCCACGCGTTTATTCGACTACAGCGCCACCACCAGAACTAAAACAAATTTAAAAATTGCCAACAATACAACACATTTTTAAACTCTACGCGTGATAATAGTATTTGAATGAACTAAATAACAATATAAAATGTATTTATATAATATTATTTGGTTATTTTTATTAATTTAATGAGTTTTTATTTACTTTCCAGACAAAAACATTAAAATACGTATGTGCGTTCTTAGTTTATGCGCAAAACAAATGTCAACTAGGCAACCCACTATACACCATTTCAAAATGGAACAATCAGTCAAAAAATTAAAACATCACTGTTAAATTTCATCGTAATGTCTGCAATAACTCAATATCAATACGCGCGATTTCAGTTTCCGACTCTTTTTAAGTTCGGCGTTGGTTCTGCTGCTTATCAAATCGAAGGAGGCAGCAATGACGACGGTAATACAAATTAATCCGTGTTTATTTCCATTAAAATACGATTTTCAGGCAAAACTGACTCAACCTGGGACTACCAATCGCGTACATTCCCCCAGAAATTCAAAAATGGCGACAATGCAGATGAAGCCTGCAATGCCTACAATAAAATAACCGAAGACGTCCGTAATTTACACGCTCTAAGCGTAGATTTCTACAGATTTTCATTATCATGGTGTCGCATCCTCCCAACAGGCATACCATGTCATATAAATCCCGCAGGAGTAAATTATTACAAGAAATTAATCAACGAATTGAATAAAAACGACATCAGCGCCGTTGTTACACTATTCCATTGGGATTTACCACAAAGTTTAGAAGCATTAGGAGGCTGGACTAATGCTAAAACGATTGATTATTTCGTGGAGTATGCAAGGATTTGCTTCCGCGAGTTTGGAAACAGTGTTAAAATCTGGATAACAATAGATTCACCCAATCATATCGCGCAGTTTGGTTATGGCGACTGCAGGCATGCGCCGTTCATGGATTCGGACGGAATTGGCAGTTACATGGCGGCGCATAACATGTTAATCGCACATGCGAAAGTTTATCGCATGTATTATGATGAATTCAGCATGCAGCAAGGTTCTGTAGGCATCGCAATTGATTGTCCATGGTATGAACCATATTCCACGTCACAAGAAGATGCGGATGCAGCTGGGAGAATGTTAGAAATGTATGTAAGTTTTTGACATTTTTGACATTTTTGACAGTGTTACCAACTTATACAAACTAAATTGTGGTTATTTGAATATTTTTAGGTTGGATGGATAGCACATCCAATTTTCACCGAATCAGGAGATTATCCATTGGTAATGCGTGAGCGTATTGATAAAAACAGCACCGCACAAGGTTTCTACACGAGTAGATTACCTAAATTCACAATAGAAGAAGTGAATTTACTACGTGGAGCTACAGATTTCTTCGGTTTAAATCATTTTGGTGCATTTTATGTTACGCATGCAAATATCGGCTTAATACCGAGTAATGACAATGACACAGGCGCGCATTACTTCGTGGATCAACAATGGCGACAATCTGCGCGTCCCATGCAGAGCGTATTACCCTGGGGCATGTTTAATATCCTCCGCTGGGTGAACGAACAATATGGCCGCCCGCTGATCTTCATCACAGGTAATGGCTATGCGGGCCCGGCGAATGAAGATGAATTCAACGACACTGAGCGTATTGCATACATTATCGTACGTAAATTAACATAATACTTCTTTTATGACATGTTTCGTACTAAATATGTTTCAGGATTATTTAAAAGAAGTCGCAAGGGCGATTACACAATGCAATTGTGACATTTCAGCGTTTACTTATTATCCGTTCATGGATTGTTTTGAATGGACTGACGCATACACGTAAAATTTACTTATTTATCTTAATTTTAAAGTAAATTAACTTGTTTTTGTTTAGAATTCGTTCTGGATTGTATCACGTCAACTTTAAAGATCCGAATTTGACAAGAACAGCCAAACGTTCTGCGCATGTGTACAAATACGTCACCAATACACATCTGCTAGTTCCGAGATTCACCGATATCAGCATCAGCGCCGATCGGAAACTCATGGAGCAAACAGAGCCCACAACAAGCAAAGCATACAAAATTGACTAAATTTTAACAAAAAACTTATAAACATACAAACAATATGGGCGATTATGATTTAATCGGTAACATTTGAGAACAAAAAACAAATAATTACGTTTTTTAACGTAAAAAACTACAAAACTAAATAGAGATCTCCAAAAACAAACATTTTAACGTTGATTATTGACAATTGCTGTCAAAATCAGACTTGAAAACTTAAAGGTAACTTATTCTGCAGAATCACAATCTGAAACAGCCTTAAAAATAAATATTTAACAGTCTTAAGTCAAAAACAAACTAAAAATGAGAATTTCAGCAGAAAATATTGAAAATTCTGCAAACAAACATCAAAAACAACTTGTAACAATCAACGTAAGTTATTTTCTAAGTTAACGCATTGATTTATCAACTTCTTGTGTGGTTTCTAACCGTTTTTACCTGTTTACATTTCGAGTAAACAATCAACGTCGCCCGTGGTGACGCTGTGCGCAATTTGCATGTGATCCCTGTAATGAGAACGATCAAAGAGCGTAAAACCGCATGTACGACACAAATACCCATAGCGATCGACGCGGTCAACATCTTTCGCTGAATACTGCAGAAATACTTTGTAAAACTCCGCCAGAATCCGCGAGCTATTCGTAGCACGGCGTCCATATGTGAAACCAGCGTTGAACATGTTATACATTGTATTCATATACGTTCTCTCGCTGTAATATTCTTCTTCTAGGGATAAAACATCATCTATAACACTCTCCTGTAGATGGCATTGCACATGCGAGGAAACCGTGCGGCGATTACTGAATTCATCATTACAATAAGGGCATACATAGACTTTGATTTGGTGTTTCAAAGTGTGTTCTTTATATCGGCGGAGATCCGGAAAGTTCACTTCGCAAATATGACAGAAGTTGAGATGATTATGGCGGATGTGATCGGCTAACATCGACTCGGTTCGGTAGCCGCTGCCGCAATACGTGCAGAACATGCGCTCTGATTGGCCATTACCTGTCAATGTCAAAAATGTTTAAAACTAAGAAAAGATTTGAAAAATCATCATACCAGAACAAGAATCAGTCTCACTAGACGGTTCTTTTTCTATTTTCGGCGTGGTGAGCACAGGTTCCACTACAGGTTTCTTTTTCTTTTCAATTTTACCCTTTTTTTTAGAAGTAATCTTCTTGGCAAGGCGTTTAATACTAATTTCATCATCACTTTCGTCAGTTATTGCGGTTGGTGTAGGTGTCGCTGCAGTCTTTGTCAAGTCATCACTAGGAGGAATGTAATAATTCTCTTCAATGCAATTAAAACTAACAGGTTCTATTGCACTTTTATTCGTTAAATATTTGTCTCTACAACTTCTCTTTGGATTGTTTCTTGATTTCTTCTTCGTGGTAATAGGATTATTATTATTAATTTCGTTAGTTTCGGCATCACTTGCTTCGGTTTTGATTGTTTTTGAAGCAAAACACTCAGATGTGCAAGGTGCGCTTGAACAATGTGTGCAAATGTGTGAGTCTTGTGTGGTGTGAGTATCGGATGGCAGTTTGATCACAGCATTGATAAGATCAGCCTTGAGATGCCGCTGCATGTGATTCTGCAGGTCGGCTGGTAATTCACATTTTGTCTTACAAACGAAGCAGTAATACATCTCTAGAGCATTTCTAGAGAAGAAAACACGCATGGAGTTAATACAAATGAATTAAACACACTTAAACCACCCGAAAATTAGTTAAAACATGACAGTTGAGTGAAAAACACAAACACCTGTTGAACTTGAAACTGTATTTTTGATTTTTATGAGTTAATGCATGGATAATTGCTTATTAAGTGTGTGGCTTACCAGTCTTGTGGTCTGGTGATATTATTTCACATTGAATGAGACGTTAAAACGTGCACTATTGCAGTCATGTTCCACCTGCCGACTGCGACCTGCTGTGCGCCGACCGGCGACACGTGAGCCGCCATTTAAAAACAACAAACTTTGGGCCAATCAGGAGCGAGTATTGCGGTGAGTGCGCTGCGATGATTTGAATATTTGAATTTGTTTCCGGTAGAAAATAACAATAAAACATAGGAATCATCGTGTAAAACAGTAAAAAGAATAAAAATCAAGTAGGTGTTGTACCAGCCTACTATTTTTTATTGTTTTTAATCAAAATAATGTTTAGTGGAGTATTTTATGTAGTATGAGAGATGTAGGCAACTTATTTCACACCAAAAGAAGTTAGGGTTACAATTTAACATGATATTTGCAAACGAGTAAATGTGAATTCGCAGTTTTTATGAGTCATATAGCAGGTTGAAGGCTGGGTTTTCAGTTATACCTGGGATATGACAAACAATTTTTTCTGATCGGCCGCATACCTCGCTACAAATACTAAGTTATTTTCTAACGCCTGAGTGTTTGCAACCAGCAATGCACTTCAGAGTTCTTCTTTCATCGTCATAAACGCCCCCTAGCGTCGCAAAAGTAAAACAACTCCGCCATCTTGTTTAAAAGCAAAACTATACAGAAACTTTCATTTCTCTTCAAAAATTTCTTAAAAAAACACAAATAAATCAAATAAACTAGCAAATATTATTCCAAACATATAAATAATCAGACAGGATGATTATGGACCTCAAGGTACAAATATTTCCCAACAGAAAAATTTCTTCAAGCATTTTTATTCTCGTTTCAATCAGCCATAAACTGGAAATCTTGCATCGTGCGCGCAGAATTAATACTCCTCGCCACCTTCGCCCTCACCCTCACCGGAATCCATACCAACCTCTTCATAATCCTTCTCCAGAGCAGCCAAATCCTCCCTAGCCTCAGAGAATTCACCTTCCTCCATACCCTCACCAACATACCAGTGCACAAAGGCTCTCTTGGCGTACATCAGATCAAACTTATGATCCAACCTAGCCCAAGCCTCGGCAATAGCCGTGGTGTTCGACAACATGCAAACAGCACGCTGTACCTTCGCCAAATCACCACCAGGCACCACAGTTGGTGGCTGGTAGTTAATACCAACCTTGAATCCAGTCGGACACCAATCAACGAATTGAATCGTACGCTTGGTCTTGATGGTAGCAATGGCGGCGTTGACATCCTTGGGGACAACATCACCACGGTACAACATGCAACACGCCATGTATTTACCATGACGCGGGTCGCATTTCACCATCTGGTTAGCAGGCTCAAAGCAAGCGTTGGTGATCTCAGCCACGGACAACTGCTCGTGATAAGCCTTCTCAGCAGAGATTACCGGAGCATAGGTGACCAACGGGAAGTGGATTCTTGGGTAAGGCACCAAGTTGGTTTGGAACTCTGTGAGATCCACGTTGAGAGCACCATCGAAACGCAGAGAAGCGGTGATTGAGGATACAATCTGACCAATCAACCTGTTGAGATTGGTGTAGGTAGGACGTTCGATGTCCAAATTCCTGCGGCAAATGTCATAGATGGCTTCGTTGTCCACCATGAAAGCACAATCTGAGTGCTCCAGGGTGGTATGCGTGGTGAGGATTGAGTTGTAGGGCTCTACAACAGCAGTGGATACTTGTGGGGCTGGGTAAATGGCGAATTCCAGCTTGGATTTCTTTCCGTAGTCAACAGACAAGCGTTCCATCAATAAGGAAGTGAAACCTGAGCCGGTACCACCTCCGAATGAGTGGAAGATGAGGAAACCTTGCAGTCCAGTGCATTGATCCGCTAGTTTACGGATGCGGTCGAGGACAAGGTCGACGATTTCCTTGCCGATGGTGTAGTGGCCGCGGGCGTAGTTGTTCGCAGCGTCTTCCTTGCCGGTGATGAGTTGCTCCGGGTGGAAAAGCTGGCGGTAGGTGCCGGTACGCACTTCATCGACGACGGTGGGTTCCAGATCGACGAAGACAGCACGTGGGACGTGTTTGCCAGCGCCGGTTTCGCTGAAGAAGGTGTTGAAACTGTCATCACCTCCGCCGACGGTCTTGTCAGATGGCATTTGACCATCGGGCTGGATGCCATGCTCCAGGCAGTACAACTCCCAGCAGGCGTTACCGATCTGGACACCGGCTTGACCAACGTGGACTGAGATACACTCACGCTATACAAAAACAATCAAAATTAACATCGGTATCATTTAAATTAAAAAAACGTGGATAAATTTGAATTTTTCACACGAAACAAGATGGCGGATAAAAATTCAACCGTCATGGTAGATTATTCGATGATTATTAATGAAAATTTACTCGGGGGTATATAATATATATGGGTGGGTACTTACCATATTGAGAGATGAGTTGAGAGTTGTTACAAAATGGAAGAATTTCTTTTTTTGGGGGGTAAACGTTCAGATACGCACACGACGAGTGGTGTCTAAACGAATGAAGAGGAAAGCCGGCCGACTCGTATTTATAAACGTCGCCGCTAGGGGGTCACGTGGGAGACAACGCCTTAACTGTGATTGGTCGTTGCCGAACGGAACTCATACGCCATGGCCATGCAAACAGAATCGCAGCGTTGTCACGTTTACACATCACAACACACCCAAAATATAAAAAGCTAAAAACTTAATAAACAATCAAAAAACATCTCACAACAATAAAACAATAGAAATCAAACATAAAACTATGAAATAATAGTTTAAAATCATCTAGAAACAAAAAAATTTGTTATTTTTGTTTGAATTTCTGAACACTAGGCAACCCAGTATGACTCAACCGCCACACCAACACAAACACAAGTTAACGGTCGCCGGCACGCCAACGAACTCCTCTGCAGAATTTTCAAGAATCAATTACTATGAATAAACGTAATATTTTCATAAATGGGCATGTTTGCCTCGAATCAAACAAACGTAGGTGTATTATATACAATATTTACATTACCTTTTAAAGATTTTTATACAAAAACACATCACAATTCAAAATTTTCATCATTTTTTAATCATTCGTGCGTTAATTTCGATTAATTAAACATTTAATTACAGCTATTACCTTCCTTAGAGGTCGTTGTCTTAGTTACGAGGTAGAAAACCCATCGTAGCATTAAATATTAACAAGAATTCATTATTTTAAGCCTTCAAGAGCTGTGAACTTGAAAGTACACAGAGGTCAATGCCTTTTCGTCTCTAATTCAGTTATAATTCATATATTTTGATTGTAATAATGATATTCTTATCAAAATAGTCATTATTTATGTGTTTTTGTATCATACAACCGTTAAAACAGTGTAAAAGTATAGATTTTTGTTATTTCTAGCAGGTATGATGTCATTTCTCATTTTAGGGTGGAGCCAGGGTTGTTTTCCGTTTATTTTCATCAAAAACACCCTCATTACAACATAGTTTCCATGGAATATCAAGCAGATGGTACGCGGGCATCACTCAAGCGGAATGAAACACACCGGTTGGTTGATTCACGCCTTTTATGGCTTGTTTTGTGAAAGTCGTCACTGGTAAACTCACCAATTCACTTCACCTGACTAATTTTAGTGAAAAAGCATTGAATCAACATAAAAACCTATGAAATCAACATGGTACATGCATCTAAACATGTTGTACGCCTGTTTTCTTGTCTTAAGACGTTTGGAACGCTTCAGACTTATAATTATCTTCACCAGAAATAACTGGGTTATTATTAGCCGTCTGCTGCGGTTGGTGCTTCTTGTACGTGTCTTCATTTCACGCTGACCCGCATCTGCGCACATTTCATCTCTAGAAAGTCGGCATTCTATGTTTTTTTGTATTTACGCTTGGGGAATGTGTTTCAACATGAAAACAATACACATAAGGTGATTGTTTGGGAGTTTTCGTTGTTTTTGCGTAAAATTCGTGATTATTGATCAAATAAGTAGTGCCAAGCTGTGTGAAACGCTTGATGACGCATCGTGACCTTGGTATTCCAGCCACGCAACAGTCGAAATGTTTTATTCAATGATATTGTTGATAATTTGCTAATTTTTTGCAAATTTTATGGATTTTTATGAGTTTTTAAGTGTTTTTCAAGTTATTTTCATTATTTTAGTTGGTGTGTGGTGTTTCTATTGTTAAATAAGTAGTAAATTAGATTCAAATCACATCTATAGCTTTTTTATTGAAATGTGTGATGATTTTTAGTAAAAAAGTGAATTGTAGTGTCGCCTGGCAGCAAAGTAGCCATATCAAGCATAATACAATATTTGATTCATAGATGGCGCTGCAATGCACAACTCAATCTAACAAGACTACCACTTCTGCTGTCAATTGTCATATTGGGAATCTTACACAAAAATGAACAAAATCTAAATTTCTAACATTTATTTCACTATCAGCATCATGTCGATCCCACAGAACATAAGTTTGCACTTAATTTACAAGATACCCAGTATTTAAATCTTCTCTTTTGCTTTTCTGATTGAATAATCTACTTGCCAGACAATGCAGCCTCCAAGTCTTTCATTTCTTTGTCGGACGCGGCCTTCTTTTCAGCGGCCAATTTTGCGTCACGAGCGACCTTCTGCTTGGCTTCAACCTCCCTGAACGCGGTCTCCTTCTTGCTGAGCCTGTTGTGGTGGAACATACCCCACATAATACCAGCTGAGAGCATTCCCCATCGTCCAAACTTTAAAACAATCAGGTTAAGTTATGTAATGTCAAGATTTTTATTGAAGAAAAAGGTGATACTTACGCGGATCAGGGGTGAAACGTTGACGGGCGCTGGGAGGGCAGACATTTTGTAGTGTTTTATGTGTGGTACGGGCAGTAGAATTAAGAAAAGCTGAGAATTTTGTTAATTTCGATCAGCGGAGCGGAGCGCAAGTCGACGGGAATGAAAATTTGACAGCTGATAGACTAAAATGACAGCTGACACTTTTAACTTGTAAAAATTTAGAAAATTGATGAAATTACAAAGTTTTCATGTGTTAAATTCAAGTTTTATGATAGTTTTCTATGTTTTATGTGTTAATTAATCGATTAGATGTAATATTATACTGTTTTTTATGTTTTTAAAGTCAAATTTTACATCGTTTATCTTCGGTTTGATTCGTGTCTGACCCAAAGGACACACACGAGTGAGAAACCACCAACCGAGTGAAATAGCGCCTCGCCGTCATTCAAACCGACACATGTTCGTGCGCAGTTCACGAATTAATCAGTCATCAAAATTTCAGTAGTGTCGCGATGTCTTTATTTCGCGCCGCGGCTTTGCAGCGCCCATGCGAGGCCGCGTAGTCGTCGTTATCTCTCGTCGTGGTCGCGAATCAACGAATCACTCGGCGCGCACACGTAACGCCGCGATGATTGCTCCGATTGCTCCGATTACTCCACAGAATCAGCAGGCACGCGAGTGAATTTCACGCAGAAAATAAAAACGCATACAGTGCGCGTCCAACTTTCGCCCAATACGCGTTGCATCACATTCAGTAACAAATTGCAACACGCAGTGAAACAAACGACGATCGTGTGCGGCTTCGGTGGCTTGTGATTGGTTGCAAAAAAAGACGATGGCAGTGATCACGACTGCGCTGGCCGTCCTCGGCTCGCTGCTCTTCACGCCGTTCTTGATGATCTTACTCTGCATCATCTTCCTCGCTTCGATTGGTAAATCCATCGGCGTACGACGACTCTACATCAAATTATTACTGATCATATTTGAGGTATGTTGAAATGAAAATAAAAACAAAAGACAACTGCACCCAAACAACACGTTGATTTCTTCAAAAAACAAGTTATTTTATGACGTCACAAATTAGTTGTAACCTTGAAAATTTTAAGTGTTTAAATATTATGATAGGTACAAAGTATTATTAATCGATTGTTAGTGATGTGATCAATGTTTATAGTCGCGTGTTGATTGCAATTAGATTATCAATCGATCTCGAACTTTAACCCAGATCGTGATAAGTTTTGTTTTTCATCGTGCTTGGTTACAAATTCAAATTTATCTGTCATCTGTCAACGGTCACTGTCCACACCAATCAGGTGCGTGACACGAGCGGCCATCATGGCTCACAACCGCTTCTGATTGGTCAACGTCACGGCAGCCATCATGATATCTAACTTTTTTCGTTTTTGTAGTATGGTCGTGCTAACATCGAAACAGAACAGAAAAAAATACGTCCCAATGAGAGTGTGGACGAAGAGGAAGAGGAAGCACTCATCAAAAGCACATCCAACGTACAGGAACTGCAACAGGATGCAGTTGAAAACAACTCGGCTGCGCTCGCAAATGGTTTGCATCCGAACGAGAAAACAAATGGAATTCGGTCACATCCAAGCAGTAATAATCTTATAAATCGCGATAATAATTTAATTCTCGTGCCAGAACCGCCTAAAAACGGCGAAATACCCGTTGGAGAGGTTGCTAATGATGATGCAAAGTCGAATTCCGGTGATGTAAGTTTAATCAATATAATTACCGCAACTTAATTGCAAACTCGTGTTTTTCAACATTTTATAGGAAAAGTACGACTTTCAACTGTCCAATTGTTTCGATTTCATACGCGCTGGCATGGAAGCAATCATCGAGGACCAAGTCACATCGCGTTTTGAAGCCGAAGAGCTGAAAAACTGGAATTTAATGACGCGCACCAACCGCCATTATGAGTTTATCTCATGGAAATTGACTGTTATCTGGGTGTGCGGCTTCTGCATTCGCTACTTCTTCCTATTTCCACTACGTGTGCTCATTTGCTTCATCGGCGTAAGTGTATTTTAAAATTTCTATCAATTTTTATTTAATTTTTATGATTTAAACAATGTAATTAACACAAATAACAGATTGTGTGGTTGATACTCACCACTGGTTTGGTCGGTTTAATACCAGAGTGCGGATTGAAGCGTTGGCTGAATGAAATCTCATTCAAAAGCTCCTTCCGCATCATGAGTCGGTCGCTAAGCGGCCGGATTGTTATCTACAACCGGCAGTATCGTCCTGCAAGGGGGAGCGTCTGCGTTGCCAATCATACATCACCAGTGGATGTACTCATACTCTCCACTGACAATAATTACTCTTTGGTAACACTACTAACCAAAACACACATAAAACACATCATTACATCCAAAAACCATGCTTTTTTATGCTTTATATGCTTATTTTTGTCTTTTTTCTTGTAATTGTTGTGTTTTGTTTACTTTGTATGCGTCCAGGTAATGTGGTTGACTTTGTGCACGGCGCTTGTCGGCTACTTTAACGACGGCCCATTCAAAAAGTGGCTGAATGGACACATCTCAATGATGTGCTTTGGAATACTCTCCGCGGCGTTGTCTTCAGTCATCACCTATCACAATAAAGAGAATATTCCTCTGAATGGTATCTGCGTAGCCAACCATACATCGCCAATCGATGTGTTGGTGCTCATGTGCGATAATTGTTACTCACTGGTATGTTTTCATCCGAATCACAATCACCTCATCATTAATTCCCTCTGAAATTAATAAATTTATATTAAAATGTGTGATATTTTAGATTGGGCAGAGACATGGTGGATTCCTGGGTGTTTTACAAAGGGCTTTGGCGCGTGCCTCGCCGCATATTTGGTTTGAACGCTCGGAGGTTAAAGACAGGCATGCTGTTGCTGCAAGGTTGAAAGACCACGTTTCTAAGCCAACCAATCCGCCGATTTTGATCTTCCCGGAAGGCACTTGTATTAATAATACATCTGTGATGCAGTTTAAAAAGGGTAGCTTTGAAGTTGGGAGTGTAATTTATCCGGTTGCGATTAAATACGATCCGCGGTTTGGCGACGCGTTTTGGAACAGTAATAAATACTCGATGATGCAGTATTTGTACATGATGATGACCAGTTGGGCGATTGTCTGCGAGGTGTGGTATTTGCCGCCGATGACGCAAAAGGAGGGGGAAACAGCGATTGATTTCGCTAATCGTGTCAAGTCTGTGATTGCTACGCAAGGGGGACTTGTAGATCTTGTTTGGTAAGCTTTAATTGTTAATTTTTGGGTTTTGTGTTAATTCGCGGCAAAAAAAAATGAAATTTTTAGGAGAAATGTGTATTTTGAGGTTAATACCGGTATACCGGTATTTTTTAACATCAAAATATCGGTATACCGGTATTTATTTGAGGTAATATCGGTATTTTTATACTCAAATACCGATATTTTGATGATTTTTGTTAAAAATTGGCTTTTGAACTTAAAATATCAAAAGACTAACCTCAATTCTTGAAATTATTGTTAATTTTGTTGATTCGCGGCAAAGGAAATGAAATTTTTAGGAGAAATGTGAATTTTGAGGTTAAAACCGGTATACCGGTATTTTTTAACATCAAAATATCGGTATACCGGTATATATCGGAGGTATTTTAGGTGTTTTTATACTCAAACACCGATATTTTGGTGATTTTTGTTAAAAACCGGCTTTTGAACTTAAAATATCAAAAAACTAACCTCAATTCTTGAAATTATTGTTAATTTTGTTGATTCGCGGCAAAAGAGACGAAATTTTTAGGAGAAATGTGAATTTTGAGGTTAATACCGGTATACCGGTATTTTTAACATTAAAATATCGGTATACCGGTATATATTTGAGTCTATATCGGTATCTTTATACTCAAATACCGATATTTTGATGATTTTTGTTAAAAACCGGCTTTTGAACTTAAAATATAAAAAAACTAACCTCAATTCTTGAAATTATTGTTAATTTTGTTGATTCGCGGCAAAAGAAATGAAATTTTTAGGAGAAACGTGAATTTTGAGGTTAATACCGGTATACCGATATTTTGATGTTAAAAAATACCGGTATACCGGTATATATCGGAGGTATTTTAGGTATTTTTATAATAAAATACCGATATTTTGATGATTTTTGTTAAAAACCTGTTTTTGAACTTAAAATGTCAATAAACTAACCTCAAATCTCGATTTTCCAGGGATGGACAGCTAAAAAGATCGAAACCAAAGAAGGAATGGCGTGAGCGACAACAAGAGGAATTCAGCAGACGCCTGAAAGTAGAATAAGTTGCTAAAAACGATTAAACAATTGCTTAGATTCAATGTGAGATCGTCATTTGTAGCCAGAGTCATACTTAAATTATTATTGTGATGAGTCGATTGTCAGACGGACCAAGCGTAGCAATGTAGTAATCTAGCGGAATTTGTAATGCGCGTGCGCGATTGTAATGAAACAGGGTGACGATGTGACGATGTGACGATATTTCTAGTTCTAGTCCATTTAACCGCACACAACACTCTTACACTCACTGTTTGATTCATTTCTTTCACGAGATTGTATTTGTATTATATATATACCTAGCGATACGAGAATGTACATAATATTGCGTTGCTAACTTTTTTATTCATAAGAGAAGTATTTTTTAATCGTCATTCAAAACATGAACTCATCTTGTAAATGTAAAGAAACTTAACTAGTTCGAAGAAGTATTTTTCTATGTATACTGTAGATTTCATAACAAACAAACATGTAATACTTTTTTCTTTTTGTTTTTTGGTAATGCGGGTGTATCTTAGTTGTAGCTAGTTGTGTATAACGTAGGCCTACGCTTTAAAAATCAAAACAGAAACAAATGAACTGTTAAGACTGATATACTGATATAATCTAACCTATAAACCATATTCTTTGAAAGTCTGTATACCGTGAACTAAATAAAATGGCTGCTGATATGTGGATCATCAAAAAATGTGGAACGCTTCACGATTTTGCGTGTCATCCTTGCGCAGGGGCCATGCTAATCTTCTCTGTATCGTTCCAATTTTAGTATATGTACCGCCGAAGCGAGTACATCTACCCCCTTGTAAACCGTAGGTATTTAAACTGTGTATGTGTGACGTATAATTACGTGAGAAGTATGTAGAGAAATTTTTGTTTTATAGGCGATTTAAACGTTAGATTATGAATTTACTCTACAAAAGTATACATTATAACATGGCAAATGATAATTTTTAATTAGATATTGCAAATTTCTTAGTCTGTTTGTTATAATAATTGTTTTAACAATAATATGGTTTTGGGGTTGTTATACCAGTGACATAGTTAGTAACTTTTCTAGGGTGAAAAGCAGTTGGTAACGTTGTCTGCAGCCCGCAACGCATCACAACGTCATTTCGTCACATAAAATATTTAAAGTTTTAATTAAATTTAACGAGGAAATACAACTTTTATCCATATGATCTTTTTATAAATCTATTTTTGCGTCAAAATATTTCAACGCGCGGCGAAACAACCAAACGTCATTCACTCCTAGACCACTAGTAGTGTTGGTGGAAAGGGAACTAGAAAAACAAAAGTAACTAAGGTTACTAACGCGTTTGAGTCATACACTCATCTGCTGGCCACAAACAATTCTCAAATTCGTACTCTCCGCCAGCAGGAGCAGCACAGCAAAGAGAAAGAAAGAGTTAAGTGTGAAGTACGTAATCATTCGCCGCGCGCGCGTTAACTAAACAGAGAGCCAGACATACGCAATCCAACAATATTGTTGATCGCGCATTGAATGGGCTTGGTCAAGCTGCAACGTCGTGCTACATTTTTAATTCCAAATGTTTCACGTTGATATCACACTTTGCACACACTGATAAATGCATTTGCAAGACGATGGGTAAGCCTACATTTCCGATAACGTATCTCAGATAACGCAGAAATCACTCCTAGCGCGGTATTTGCGCTTTGATAAACAAGTTTTGTTTTATAAACTCACTCATTCCAACATTTTTCATACATTTTTCACCTCGTTTATAGCCAGTGTGTTGTTTTAGCTGAGGCAATAGTTGAGCATGACTACAGTGCAAAGCAAGCAGATGAACTCACAATAAAAAAAGGTGATGTCATCAAAGAGGTAGTGAAAAAGCAGGAAGGCTGGTGTGAAGGAGTCCTTGATGGTAAACGCGGACTGTTTCCCGATAATTTCGTCATGTTAATGCAGGTGAAAATGAGGGCGAACTCAACCAATAGCAGAAGATGCAGAGTCATCTACTCCTACAAACAGGAACACGAAGATGAACTCAGTTTAAATCTGGGTGAAATTATTGAAGTTGTTGGCGAGGAAGAAGAAGGATGGTGGAAAGGCAGAATAAATGGTAAAGTTGGTGTGTTTCCTTCGAATTTCGTCGAGGAAATCAACGAAAATGGCCGGGAGGAACAAAAACCAGTTGAAATTGTGCCAGTTGTCAAAGAAGAACCGAAAATAAGTAGGTTTTTCACATTTCTAACCTAAAACTATTAAATATTTACAATTAGTTCCAGTTAAAACATTCTGTGAGGTAAAATACGCGTACCAAGCCCAGAATTCCGATGAATTAACACTCAAAGAAGGCGATATTGTGACACTCATCAGTAAAGACGGCCAGGATGCAGGCTGGTGGCGTGGTGAACTCGACGGTAAAGTAGGTGTCTTCCCTGATAACTTCGTCATACTCGTTGAGAAAGCACCACCGCCAGCGCCACCTACGTCAATTGACACTGACAGCGAAAAGGTTGACAAACGCCCCGTGAATCCTACAAAACCCACGCATGTTGCCACCCAACGCAAATCCCAAGAAGTAAAACCTGTTAAACTCGACCCTCCTGCAATCCCCAACAAAAAACCAAGCGTCCCGCATAAAAATCACCGTCGGGTGCAGCCGGTGGTCTTTTTAGTAGTATCACTAAAAAGATACAAGACACCATAGATGGCGGTGCTAGTTCAAAATCCGTCAAAATAACTAATAATGATGACACGCATCCAGCGCACGAATCGTATCATGCGTTTGACAACATCGAACGCAATCCAGTCCTGCAGGATCCACGCGCGAATCGAGTGAAAGGTCCAGGCAGACGTCCGGCGAGTGTTGCACTCAAAGAAGGCGAAGGTTTAATAAATGGTAATTCAGATTATGGCAGTTTGGAAGATGGCGCTGGCGAAGAGGATCAACGAGAGATAAAACCAAGAAGTATTGACGTTCAAAAACCACCATGGTTGGAGGAAATGAACAAAAAAATGAATAAACGATCAACAGTCACAGCATCCGAGCGTGTAAACCGGCCTGAAAGCGAAGAAAAACCAATTGAAGCGTCTCCAGCTGTTGACATGTCAAGATCATTGCCTCCAGCGGCGTTGGCACAAACTAAACCGAAAGATGTCAAAGAGGTTAAGACAGCCTCAGAATTAGAACGTGTCAATTCCATCGACAAGGTCATCCTAAGGTCAAAACCTGTTGTGAATGTTCGCCCGCAGACAATTGATGCTTCCGTACGGAAAACCTCGCCGACGATACCGCGTATACCATCACCATCCCCGCCGGCATCGATTTCACCTCTACCATCAGGTAAACCACCGATTGCAGATCGATCCAGTGTGGAAATGTTGAGCAGTCGACATTTCAACGAGTTGAATGAACGCCTTGCCGCCATGGAGGCGGAATTAAATCGTAGATGCGATGAATTCGCGATTACAATCGAAGATTTACGAGGTAGGTTACAGGTGGAGACTGATATGCGCATGCTCCTCCAGGTAGAGCTTGAAAAGCTGCAGGAACAAGTGCAGTTGCAGACATAGGTATGAATTGATTAGAATGGAATTAAATTAATGCGCGATGCGACAAACACAATAATAACAAAATGCTTAGTGCTAGAACACGTGTATATACTTGCAATAAGCTAGATACGTTTATAAATACGCGGCGTGATGAAAAATGTGGTTAGATTAGTCATCAACTGTCAAAAAGGTTTTTGTAAGTTTTTATTGAATAACTTTTAAACGCGTGGAGATATTTCCTTCATTCTTTTTTTAATTCATTCCTGGATGAGTTCTGCGCATAAATCTTTTTATACTTTTAAAAATAATAATTATTACCGAAGATATAGGCGTTTAAAGTAAAACTTTTGAATTTTGACAGTTTTTGACAGTATTTTTTGACATAACCACAAAATGATGCAACAGATACATTCCTAAATAAGTTAGGTTGTTTTTAACTTGGTTTTAATGAATTCCAAACGTTTTCAATGTCAATATTAGCTAAATTGAAACAATTACACCAAATTAAACGTAATTTCCGGTTGTTTTAAGTCAGAAATATTGAAATATTACAAGTGCTGGTTACTGTGATGCTATCTACACAATATTTTATTAATTTCGCACACGATTCTATCAAATTCCGAACGTTTGATTTCGTATTTATTGTATTTATTATATTTTACGGTGTTTTAATTGAATTTCTTGCGTCGATAATTACTAATCACTACAAATTGCTATTTTTATACATATTACGCGCTAGGGTTAAACGTTGAGACGCTTTTTAAGGAATTTTTCAATTTTACATTCCGATATTTTCCAATTTTATAAATGTAAATAGCATTTAGATGGAAACTAATGAAAACTAATGATAGAAATATGCCTTAAGCAGCAATTTTTCGTTTTTCTTATCCGAATATTGCTTTGAAACATATTTATAAAGTATGTACTTACAGAGAATTGTACTTAAGGCATATTCTTACAGATTACTTGCGCTCTAAGTTGTAATATCATATACTAAGCTACGCGAATTACATGTCATATTATTTAAGATGATATAAAATGAAATAAATAATATATTTTTTTGTGATATGTGAAGATATTTGAAAGTTGAACAAGAATGTCACTTGAATGACAAAATTCAAATGTCAAATTTGTTTATGCGTAGTGCGCAGACGCGGGTATCTGTCATATTCTTTTCTAACTGACGCGGTGTTGTTTTAACGTATTTTTGCTGATTCATGTGAATAATTGCAGAAAAATTTATTAAAAAGTATTAAAATCAGTGTTAGAACACGCGTAAATCAGTAAAGATTAGTTTAAAGTATTAATTTCGGTTGATTTTGATAGTTATAACGTATTTTTTTGAATTTTTGTTTTGTGAAATTCTGGGGTTATGACCTTGTGCGCATCATCAATCATTTCACCACCTTCGGTGAGTACATCAACAGTTGTCAATCATATTGTGACGACAGCTTGAGTAAAGCTGTCGCTACACTAGTGAATGACAAGTTATAGTTTGTGTGTTCTGCGCACACTCGCGCTTGGCGGTTGGCTGTCAATTTCGTTTGTAACCGACGTGTGTTTGTTTTAACGTATTCCCACTGATTATATAAATAATTAACTAAAAATTAATTAAAATCTGGTGAATTCAATACTAGGACATACATAAATCAGTATAGAATACTTTAAAGTATAAATTTCCGTTGATATTGACAGTTAAACAGTCATTTTTGAATTTTGTGTTGTAATAACTTGGTAACCTCACAACAGGCTATGACGTCGTGCGCATCATCCTTGTCATCTCATCGGCCATTTTCGGTGAGTACATTTTCATTCCAACTAAATTACTGCAATAAAAATAATACCTACACCTACACAACCTCGAATTTGTAGGTTATAGACGATTAACTCAGGTTATATCTATGTTATGTTATAATTTAATGAAAGCGACACACGGAAGTCGTGTGCGTGGTGATGGCGCACCTCAAAAAACGCAAAATCTGCTTCTGCGCGGCGGTGCGCACGATCGCCGCTTGTCTCGATGCCGCCGTCCGCACACCGCACACATTTATAGCGCATATCGCAAAAACAAGACGTCGCGACGTGCGCCAAGCGCGAAAAAACGAACGCAAAGTTTCATACTTTCCTCATTTACAAAAAATCAGTGTGTATGTAATGTAACGCGCAACAAAATCATCATGTCGCGCATCACTTGGAATTCCACACAAATTTTCGTGATATTCATTTGTTTCGGTAAGCAATTCATTAATTCTATGCCTAAATTCTGCTCTAGTTTCAACATTTCACTTTCAAAGTGTTAAATAACTTGTTTAGCGACCGTTTTTAGTAATTTTATTAATTTGACGACCTAGATTAGTGATTATTTTGATTTTTTTTGGAATTTTTTTGAAGAAAAGTCATGTTTTTTTATTGTTGCGCATCCTACAAGCACGTAACGCATGTCGGGTGTGTGTGCGCGTGAAAAATGAGTGTCAGATGCGTTAAAATAGCTCTTGGCCGGCCAAATTTCACGAATTATTCACGTTCTTCGCTATTACACCTTCTAGAAGCAGCTATCTGGTCATATTTTATTATAGGCAACCCAGTATGCATTCGTACACCCACACAAACACTTTGGATTCTAACCTCAAAATATTTCTCGTATTTCTTCTATATTTATGTTCGCAATAGTTTAAAACAAAATAAGCGCGTGAGTAATGCCGTCACAGCGTATTTCCAATCGGTCGCGGCTCATTTCGTAAAAGTAAAACGTTGGGTTTTGTTGTGTTATGCTGCTCACGCTTCGTTTGACGACCTTTTATGCAGTCGCCTTTGATCCGCTCGAGTGTGTGAAGTGTACGACAATTAATTAACTAATTAAGATTCAACGCACACACAAACATTTAGGAGGCACAAAAACTAAACGAGGTTGAAATAGTTTAGATTTGAGGTTATATTTGGTTGGAAAAACCTTGAATAGATCAAGTGCATGGTATGAAATGCGTGAAATAAACGCGCGAGTTAAAAATACGCATCATTCGAGTGATGTTTCGATGTTTTTTCATGTTTACGGTGTCTTTCTGGCCTGGTTTATGATGTAATCTGTGGAATTGACGTTTGCATTGAAATTTCACGCTGGCGGACTTTGAAAATATTCCAAAACTGTATAAATGGCAATGACCTATTTATACAGTAGTAAATTCCACTGAATTTTAACTGACGGATAAATATTTATGCCTATTTTAATAAATATTTATTTTTACAAGTCGCGTAGAGTGTGTTGCCTATACAAATTATTCTTTATAGACATACAAGTGTCTAAAACTAGGTTATTATTATTATTGCATGTTTTGTGCAGCGCGTGCAATATCATTTCCTGACTTGACTCGTAGTAGCGTCCGTAGCATTTATGAAAACCGAAACAATCACGCCGCGGCATTTTGTGCTGCGCCTATTCCCCATACACAAAGTGTTTTCATGCGAGTGGCAACCATCCGTTCACTCCTGCTTTTAAAAACGCGCACATAGTAAACAGCGGAAACATTCAGTAGGAGATAGGTCATTTGCAGCGCATCTGATTTGTAAAGGCCACTCCTTGCTTGCTTTGCTTTATATTCACGTATAGCTACGTATATAAAATGCGAGGTTAGGTTATAAAATGATTAAGTAATAAAATAAAAATAAAAATAAAATAAGAAATAAAATGTGCATTAAACTCGGATAATTTTATTAGTATTATCATTATTATTATTATCAGGGGAAGGTCACCTTGATATGCGGATGCGTTGGAACTGGAATTTCATTAGTGTAAAATGTCACATTGACCTCGATTCCCAACCCTTATAGTGTGGGTGATAAATTTTAATGAAGTAGGATATAAAACACGCGCGCTTTGTTTGTCTATTATATACAGTGGGGCGCTAGCATCGCTTGCGTGAGTTTATCTGCCGCCTCTCCAGCATCCTGCGACTCTGGTAGGCATTCCGCGCGAGCCACGCGTCACGTGCCGCTGTCCACGATTGTAATTAATAATTAATTCTACAATCATCGCGGATTGTGGTGTGGTGTGTTTTTCTTTTGTTTTTATTAATTAATAGAGTTGGTTGGAGGGATAAATAAGTTGCTTGCAGGCACGCGCCGCGTCGGAAAGCAGTCGAGTCTTTGACTAGGAGAAAAGGAAGATGAGAAAGTGCGTCCGCTGCACGCGAGAGTCGTTCGCATGCACGCCCTGCGCCTCTTCGACGTTCTGCGCGCCTCGTCGGTAGAATTCACTCTTGTCTTACCCCTTTGCTTGGCCTGGCATACTTGAAATTCCACATTCCACAATATTCAATCCACATAATTTTATTTATAAATTTTCTTTAAAAAATAACTAAAAATCAAAATAATATAAAAATAATTATTTATTATTTATTTTTATATTAATTTAATAATATTTATTAACTTTAACAAAAATTAGTTAATATTATCAATTTTCAACGTGTAAATTCACCTCTGTAGTATTCTGCGCTCCCAGTGGCGAAACCCAGCAACTTCGGCAACTTCTGTCAGTCAAGCACGTCTCACAACTTTTCTCACCACACTCTTTTAGTTTGTAGTATATTACCTACACCTGCTAACGTTATATCCTTGTCTGATACCAATAGAGACATTCTTCTGTAGTCTTAATACGCGCGAGTAACGCTGCGAACAAAGTCGCGATATTTCTATTCTTTCCTTTACCTTCTCCACGCGTCTGGTGTCTTGATCGCCGTTTATCCGATGTGGTGGCCGCTGTCCGTCGTTGGCAGCGTGAACCGCGTGCCGCTCACAAAGTACGAGTAGGAGGAGTTGTTTGGTGGAGTTGCCAAGCCAACCATGCACGGTTCTCCTTCTTTTCCACTCGTTGGCTTTGTTTTTTTCTGCCTTGTGCTACGCGTCCCTCTTTTCCACTTCTCTTTGGTACTTCTGCTCTCCTAGTAGTCATATGGAATTGATTTCCAATAAATTCACGCATGAGTGCGCACGGGCGAGATTTCGAAACGGAGGAGGGAGAGTCGTAAAATCAATTAAAAATTATTTTAAAAAAACGGAAAATGTAAAAGTAAATTTTAGTATTTTAATTTTTATTGATTTAATTAATTTTCTTACGATAATTTTATTGTAATTGTAAGAAAATTAAATTTAAACAAATGTTTCTTTATAATTTGCGCTTGTGGAATGTTGGGTATGCTCGGAATGCGGCGTTCTTCACCTCCTCGCGGTTCTGTCTGCCGGCGACGGCGCGGGCCTTATTTTGCAATGTCTGCTTTACAAATCGTTTCGTTTTTTTACTCTTGTTGCATACCATACACCCCACCTACGATTTAAAAAATCTCCACCAACTCCAACACCAAATCCAAGTTTGGTTGTTTCATAACCTTCTTCTTTATATTATTCCATGCGAGACTTGATGATAGTAGGAGTTCATAAGCTTCGGAATACCACGCCGCGCGCGTAGAGCGCTAGCCCTCGGAATATTTTATTTTAAACTACCGCCTCACAACGGCGAATGCTGCGCCTGTTAACCGTTCGATCAAGCGGCGCTATTAGGAGATTCGGCGCGCTGAGAGAGAGAGACAAACAAAATGGTCGGGGGGCCCTGCTTGTATGCGCTTGAATACTTGCCCTGTGCGTTCTTATGCTGCTCTAATAAACCGCTCGGGTAATTATGCATATTGTGTTGTGTTATTATCACAAAGCAAGTTGATTTTATGTTTAAGTTCATCGACTTGCTTTTTAGACTTAAATAAACTAAATAAAAATCGTGTGGTTTTGTTTCCTTTAATAACAACAACAAAAGACTATAAAAAGCCTCACATCGCCATTTTAATATTATTAACAACATAATAAAGTGTTAATTAAAAGTTACAAAAGTAAAATGCCGCTCATCTCGACAAAACGTGAAGCCGTAGCCAACCAGCTCCGTGAATACGCCGGCAAAACCAAGACACCAACCAAATAATCACCGAAGATTCCGGTAATCCTATCCCAGAAAAAGATGCGAGTCTCACAGTGGGTGTCCACGGTCCAATCCTGCTTCAAGACATCACCCAGGTAGAAGAACTCGCCCATTTTGACCGCGAACGCATCCCGGAACGTGTTGTACACGCAAAAGGCGGCGGAGCCTTCGGATACTTTGAAGTAACCCACGACATCACCTCTTACACCTGCGCGAAAATATTCTCTACAATTGGTAAACGCACCCCGTTGGTTGCCCGCTTCTCACAGGTCATCAACGAATCGGGATCCTCTGATACAGTTCGAGATCCACGTGGATTTGCTATCAAATTCCGCACAGAGGATGGTAACTGGGATCTGGTTGGAAATAACACTCCGGTGTTCTTTGTGAGGGATAGCGTGATGTTTCCTAGTTTCATCCACTCACAGAAACGCAATCCTGTTACCAATATACGAAACTGGGATGCGTATTGGGATTTTCTCTCGTTGAGACCCGAATCCATGCATCAGGTGATGGTTGTCTACTCGGACAGAGGTATCCCCGATGGGTATAGATACATGCATGGGTATGGATCTAATACCTTCTCCATGATTGATTCAGATGGCAAAGTGAGTTGGGTCAAGTTCCACTATAGGTCTGACCAAGGTATACGGAATATTTTCGCGGATCAAGCCAGGATCCTCGCTGGAGTTGACGCGGATTATAGTGTGAGGGATTTGTACAATGCCATAGCCCGAGGGGATTATCCAAGTTGGACGTTGAGTATCCAAGTGATGACTCCTGAGGAAGCATCTAGACAACCCTATGACCCTTTCGATGTGTCCAAAACATGGCCCCATGCGGATTTTCCTCTTATACCAGTTGGAAAAATCACTTTGAACAAAAACCCTTCGAATTACTTCGCTGAAATTGAACAACTTGCGTTCAACCCGAGTCATTTCATCCCTGGGATTGATGCGTCTCCAGATAGAATGTTACAAGGAAGGCTGTTTTCCTATGGGGATACACATAGATATCGTCTGGGGGTTAACCATCAACAGTTACCAGTGAATGCCCCACTGGTCCCCATCATGAATTTCAACCGCAGTGGACGGGATATTATTGATAGTCAAGGCGGAGCTCCCAATTATCATCCGAATAGTTTTCATGGTCCTGAAGCTTCACTAAGAGCTAAAAAGCTTACACCTTCGTTTAGACTGGTTGGGGACACTACGAGGACCGACACTAGTACCCTGGAGGATAATTACACCCAGCCGAGGGTTTTATATCAACGTGTGTTGCCCGAGGGTGAAAAAGCTAGGCTGGTGGATAATGTCGCTTATGATTTGAGGAACGCGGCTGGGTTTATCCAGGAACGGATGATTAATGGGTTCAAGCAGGTGGATCTTACTCTGGGGGCGTTGATTGCCGATGCTGTGCATAAGTATAATCATCCGAAGAGTGATCCGAGAGCAGAGATTTAATTATTTTTGTTTTAAATGCTTTTATATGCTTTAAATGCTTTGCTTTTCTTCCTGTTGTATCCCTTGATCCGTACATGTGTATCCCGTGTGTTTTATGCGCGCCTGTGACGTGAATCTCGCGTAAAGCTCCCACGCCTACAAGTTTACGAAGCTTAGCCGGGAATAATCCACGATTTTCCCACCTCGCTCTTACTAGCAGTGAGTATTGATCCGAAATTGTGCGCCAATGAGCGGGAGCTTGGTGTGGATTGGGCGTCGCGACGCTTGTTGTAGAGGTGGTGGTGGTGGTGGGAATGGAGGCAGTGTGGACGCCGTTTGCCGGCGGCGGGATTATGTGCGCCTGATAGCGTGGACCTCGCGCACGTGAAAGCTCGCACGCTGAAAAGCGGAAAATTTTCCACCGCCACGCTGCCGCCGCCGGCGGAGGACAGCCTGCGCGGGGACACACTTGTTGCTTGTATTTTCCAAGCGGTTTGGAGAGCACGTGGGAAATTTTTGACTTGCGCAAAGCTTCTAAGCTTCTAAGCTTTCAGAATAGAAATATAAATATAGATTGGTGTGCGTATTGCGCCTTAGTAGTAATATAGTTTTAAGTTTAAGTCAGTTTTGAATTTACTACTGAGTAATAATTTTAATTGAGTTTTTCTTTAATTTTATGCGATTAATAATGATTAATTGTAATAAAAAGTGGATTATAAATGATATTTAGTTGAGTATTTGGTTGATTGTAAGTGAAGATTGTAACAATTGATTACTGGTTGGTATTTGATGAATGGCGGCGTTTAGTACGGGTACTAGCAGTTGTTCCTGTATTCCTGTTATTTTCCGATACTTTCAGCTGTGCTCTCTCGACGTCCACGGTCGAACGAAACTCGAAACTCGGGCAAGTCGTGGGAGCAGGGGAATTGTCACCTTATTAACTCTTCATCAATCAATATCAATAAATTAAAATAAGTAATTAAATAATAATATTATTAATTAATTATTTATTAACTTTCAAAAAAATACGTTGGCAGTTTTAAAATTCAGTAGAGTGCAAGTCTTTTTCTTTTCTTCTTTTCTCTTTTTGTTCTTGTCGGGTCTTCTTTGCGTGAGCTTGAGTGAGAGCTTGAAGACGTGTTTTGAGACTTGAGACTTTGGCCGCGGCCAAAGGGGCGAACCGGTGCATCCTCGAAGTCATGCTGCTCTGATACAGCGACCTGTCCGAAAATGCCACGCCCTGAATAAAAAACTGCGCGCTTAACTAATAAAAACAAGTTTATATGCATTCATAATATTAATTTTATTCTTTAGTAATATAAAAAAAAGAAATAAGTAAATACAGCTGTAAAAAAACAATTTATAGTGATGTAAATTGTTTATAAATCTATGGCTGAGTTAATAGAATTGAAGGAAAACATCTTGAGATGCTTCATGAGAGCCTGTTGAGTCAACCCGAGTAGTTAACCCTTTCTGGGCCTCACAGGACACAAAAAATAACAAAAAACAAGCAAAATTTACGCAAAAAACAAACTTTTCTAAGTAAAGTCACAGAAAAATAAATTTAAATGAATTTTAATTCTTTAATTAATAATTTATGTTATATTAATCTTTAATAAATAATTTTTAATAATAATTTAATGTACTTAAGACTACTTTAAGTACAAATATTATTAATATTAAATTTTAACTGTTTAATACTGGAAAAAAGAGTAGGCACACACAGAATAGAAGCACATTGTAGGGCTGGGTGTAAATACTATGCTCCTCAACATCCTGCGTTCCTGATAGGGTGTTGACGTCATTCTGGAGCTATTCCCACGCCCTGCGCGCACACAAAATCATTAAATTCCTCACATTCCACCCCTACACACACACATCCACACAATAATCAATCTCCTCTAGAGTCTAGACGGAATAGATATAAATATATTGTTTTTGTCACGCAATAGTATCCTATCCTACCGGTGTATTACTACATATATTAAACCGGCAGAATTGAATAGGGTTGATCCATTTGGTGTTGCGGAAGGTCCGGACACCTTCGCGTCTTGCCCGCATGGCCCTGAGCGGCAGTCACATGACGTCAACGGCGTATCAGGATTACATGAGCATGTCGATGTCGACGGTCTCATCCGACGTGCCCTAGGTTAGTTACACGCGTTACAAGTGACCTTGCATGACCCACGGCGGGTGCTCTCGGGGGCGCTGGCTGCTCAGGCTCGAAACGACGTCAACAACCAACCAGGACCGCAGACGCGCGAAGAGCATCTAGAGTAAACAAACGCACAGCGTCTTCTTCCCAACCTACGCGAAGAATATTTTATATAATCTTGAATGTAAATGTAAAGGAGGCGAAGAAGAAGGGTTCATGTGGAGAGCGTGGGCGTCCATCAATTGTAAATGACGTCAACCGCGCAGCAGGAACACAGAATGAAGAGAAGGTGGTTGTAGGAATGGAGTGGAGTGGAGTTGAGTTGTAGGCGTGGTGTGGTGTGATGTGCATAGTCGGGTTGCGTGTGGAAGGTGGAATAAGGTCATAGCCCTCAGAGCTTTCGAGTTGTATGCGCCGCGCAGAAAGAAGAAAAAAATCAATACTCGTGGCGCTTGCGACAGAGAGGCGCTATTGGAAAATGACGTCAACAAGCTATCAGGTTATCAGCGGCTAGAGGAGCTGTACTTTAAGAATAAGCTTCACATTCAAATAATTCCTTAAATTAAATAAAATTTTTACATTAATTACATAGAATTAATTATTTTATAACAAAATGTTTAAAAATTTAAAAAAAATTTTTAAATTTCAGTTTGTTGTTTCCTATCAACAAATGGCAGTGACGATGATCTCCGCTCCACCGGTCGCCTCCGACGTGCATGCTCCACACGTGGTCACATCCCTCAACCACCAAGCCGCGTCAACACCACCGGCCGCCTCCATTTCCTCCGCCGTGCGATGCTCACCGAAACCGTCCTGCGTGATCGCGCCATTGACGCCTATCTCATCACCTCAGACGATGAGCATCAAACTGAATACGTTGCTCCTTACGACCGCCGAAGGGAATACATCTCCGGCTTCTCCGGAAGTAATGGCGACGCCATTGTTACACAAACCCACGCTGCACTATGGACAGACGGCAGGTATCATCTCCAAGCAGATGATCAACTCAACTGTGACTGGTTACTGATGCGTGAAACACAAACAAAAGTACCTACGAAAGCAGAATGGTTAAAGAGGGTGTTACCACCACATGGACGCATTGGAGCTGACCCTAAGCTGGTCTCAGCCGCAGCATGGACCAACCTCGAGTTGGATCTGGAGAATTCCACGCTGAAGCTGGTCCCGATTAGTGTCAACCTCGTGGATGAGGTGTGGTTTGGCCATGAGGATACCATACGGGAGAAGGACGCTTTTGTCTTGGATATTCAATATTCAGGCAGGAATTGGACAGATAAGGTTGAGGAACTTCGGCAGGAGTTGAATTATACTGGTGTTGACGCTATGGTGGTCACCAGTCTAGCTGAAATTGCTTGGTTGTTGAATATTCGTGGTAGGGATATTCCTACAATCCGTTTGTTAAGAGTTATGTGGTTTTGAGTAACACCAGCGTGCATTTTTACGTTGATGGTTATAAACTGGTTAAAAATGGCGTCGATAAGTATCTACGCATTCATTACGGGGTGAATCGTGAGTCAGTTATGTAAGTTTTTGTTTATTTATGTATTATATTTGTTTTATATTGATTTTATGTTTTGTGTTGTAGTGTACATGATTATAAAGAAATCTGGACGGATTTACCAACGAAAACACAAGCATGGGACTATGTTTTGGTACCGTCGATAAGTGTGTTTAGTGACGGGGCGAGTCAGGCCATTGCTTCGTTGATTCCGAAGGAGAAACGTGTCAGTAAACCTTCTCCGATTATTGCGTTGAAAGCTAGGAAGAATCCGATTGAGATTGCTGGTATGGAACGCGCGCATATTCGAGATGGCGCTGCGATGTGTGAATTTTTAGAGTATTTAGAACGTCGGGTATGTTTTTTTCTTCAAAAAACCAAAATATTATTAATTTTAAATTATTTCTTTAATAGTATGCGGCTGGTGATACTTGGGATGAAATCACAGTGGCGAATATCATAAATCTCATTCGCTTCGAGCAGAACTTCAGCCTTGGCAATAGTTTTGAAACTATTGTTGCCTTCGGTCCAAATGGGGCCTTACCGCATTATGAACCTACGAATAGTACTAATATGAAGATTTTTAGTAATAGTACGGTTGTTATCGATTCAGGAGGACAATATTATGGTAAATTTAGATTAAATACTTGTTTTTCTTACATTGTTTTATAATTATTTTTATTTTTAGATGGCACTACAGATGTTACTAGAACATTACACTTTGGTGAACCTACAGCAGAACAAATAAATGCATACACACGTGTGCTCATGGGATTGATTCAATTATCGCGGTTGACGTTTCCAGCGAATATGCGCACATCAGTGGCGGATGTAATGGCGCGGGCGCCATTGTGGGACGTTGGTTTGGACTATATGCATGGTACCGGGCATGGAATTGGATCATTTCTAGGTGTACACGAACGTAATTATCAAAATTTTAGTATATTGAATGTTTTTTCATTGTTTTTATTGATTTTTAATTTTAGCTCCTATTTCGTTGGATTACAATTCCTACGCACGCCAACAACACTTCCGCAGAGGATATTTTTTTCAAATGGTAAAAATACTAAATATTATGTTTTTCTTGTTAATTATTGTTTTTTCTATTAGAACCAGGTTATTATCTGGAAGGAGAATTCGGTGTGCGTTTAGAAAACATTCTCGAAGTAATCAAGAAGTCTTGGTTGAAGCATATAAGTGGACAAGCTTTCCTCGGGTTTAAAGATGTGACACTCGTACCATTTGAACCCAAATTGATTAATATTGATTTATTGACCTATCAACATGTAAGTTTTCATCTAAAATCTTTATAAATATCATAATTTGTGATTAAATTTAAGCGTCAATGGTTGAATGACTACAACACAAGGATTCGTGACCTTGTCGGGCGTGAATTAAAGGAGAAGAACAAGATGGACGCCTTCTATTGGATGATGGAGAAGACGAAACACATTCCGGGTGCGTCTGCGCAACTACGCACATCTCTACTCTCAGTTATCCTGCCGGTTATTGTTTGTTTTGTTGCCACAGTAAACAAATAAGTGTTGTAAAAGGTAAGTGAACATTTTATTCAATATATAAAGGTATTTGCATTGGTATATGTCGTAATTTACAAGTTCTATTGGGTAAAAGGGTAGTGTTTGTAGTTCTGGTGTCTTAAGTCAACTTAACCTCTCGAAATTTTTAATGAAAACACTTCAAAGTTGTGATTTTGATGAAAAATGTTTATATTATAAACGTAAAACATTCACGCAATGCCTTAAACTGTTACAAAGTAAACGTAGTAAGTCTAGTTGTATGTTTGTACTTATGTCCTAAAGTATTATCAAATTTTATATGTGTTATATGTGTAAATCATAGCTGTAGTCTTTATTTGTATTTATTGCTAGATGATATTAAACCTACGGTTTCCACAAACGCACCAATCCGTCCTCACTATACGAACATATCATATTCTGATGCGGATGATGACTGATCCCAATGACGTCCTTCTCGTGAATATTCAACGTGCGCTCCAGTTTACCCGAGTTGGTCGAGAAGCAATACAAAACGAAATCCTCGCCGACGCAGTAAATCCAATCACCACGCGGTGACACCGTCGAGCAGACAAAGTCACCACCCTCACGCTTTCCACTCGAGAAAGATCTCACGATCTGCCCGGATAGATTCATGATCACCGCGGTGTTTGTCCGGTTGCAAACGACGAAATGTTCGTTATTCTTCGCGAATGCATGGATATTATTCACGGTGGTATCACTGGCGCCGATACTTTTAAAAGTATTGATACATTCGGTTGTTTTGATGCTCCAGACTTTCACCGTGCCATCCGAGCTGGCGCTGAGGATATTATGCCCATCCTGCGTGTAGATTACTTCGTTTACGAATGAGCTATGTCCGCGGAACTCTTTCAACATCTTCCCGCTTTTTAATCCGTGAATTTTGATGGTGTGGTCGAAGGAAGCACTGAGGACTTGGCTGTTATCCCGGGAGAATTGTAAACAGGTGATGCCTTTTGTATGCGCTTTCTCTACTTTGCGTAGACATTGCCCGGAACTGATGCGCCACACTTTTATCCGCCCGGATTTCGACCCGCTGACCAACATTTCACTGTCTCGGGAGAATGCCATGCAGAGCACGGCGTGTTCCATCAACATGAAGTTATCAGCCGCTTGGTATTTTAAATCCTTACGGATTTTACCCGTGGTGAAGTTCCAGACTTCAATGATGCCGTCAACACTTCCGGTGATTAAGTATTGTCCATCCGGTGAGAATCGTGCGCATTCCACGTGGGATTTCTGCCCGAATTTGATCTGTTTCGCCATTTGCGTTGGGAATTGTTCGTCTTCCTGGTCGCGGATTGCTGCCTTGCCACGGAATAAATCAATTGTGGTGCCGGGAGGTAGTAATCCTTGATGTTGTTGCCATTTTAATGCTTGTCCAAGCAGGGCGAGTAGGCGAGATGATGGCACGACGGATACTTCGCCGGATAACGCCAGTGCGATTGCTGCACGACGTTTTTCTTTACTGCTACCATCCGGATAGGCTTCCCTGGGATCAAAGTAGGACCTGGCGAGGAGATTCTCTAAATGTATGTATCTTTCTGGTTCATGTTGTTTAAGCATTATCATTGGGTCGGTTTGACGGAGGAGAGAACGCGCCGCGCCGAGTTCTCGGAGTTCAATTAGTTCTAGCACAATCTAGAAGCATTTTTATGATGTTGTTATTAGATACTTATGGATTTATACTATTCTTACCTGTTCATATAAGTCAATTAGTTTCTTATCAGGAAGTTTGAGTGATTGGATAGCTTTGAGAACTGTGTCCCAATGACCATTGTTGATATCTGAACAGAAGCCATCTACACTATCAACTGTATTCAGGGACACTCCTGTTTCCTCCTGGGAAATTAATAGTAATTAAGTAGTTTTTGTTTAATTTACTTGTATTTAACATTTTCTTACTTGTAGGGTTTGTAGAGTTTTGTATAAATTGCTTTCTTTCAAATACTGCTGGATTAGACGTATCACGCTAAAAGTAAGCAGTAGACATTTATTTAAAGATGTATTATGTTATATACGTGGGTTACTTACTCTGCTGATTCAATTTCAATCGACATAATTAGTAAATTGTTTACTGCAAGCCAAGTTAACCTCTAATTTGTCGGGTTTATGTATTCTTGCTATCTCGCATAATTTGTTTGAATGAGTATTTATTTTCTTTTTGTTTCGCTATGTCCATCTAGTGGTGTACTGTTATTATGTAGTTAAGATTGCAGAAAACTGTAATTTGCTATTCTATTTTTATTAGTTAGGCACTTCGCAACTAGATGGCGCTAGTGCTGCGCTTGCAACAGTTTTCTTCGGTTGCCACTACTACTTTCGCTCCATTCATTCACTCACCACCTCAGTACGTTCCGCGCTGTGGTAAAGGCTGCACGCGTTTTTTTTCTTCTCCGCCATGCCGCAACTCTCGTCGTATTTCGTTTTGCTTTACAGTTTAATTCGGTATCAGTTACAGTCTCGGGATACAAATCACCGTAATCAAGAATGACTGGCTATGGCTATTTTCCTGTTTAGACAGTCGTGCGGTGTTGTGCAGTGTGCACGAGTACTTGCCATCCGTCGAGCATCGTGGTGATTTCTCGCGTTTCTTGGGTTTAGTGCGCTTAAAAAATCGGTTTTAAATTCGATATGCTATCGATCGACTGCCGATGCACGTGCATGACGGCGGCCGCCGGATCTCGTTCAGTGGCTACGAATTTCATTTGGGATTTATTGATCAAAATTGATCGAATGTTAATTTGTGAAAATTATCCACGCGTGTTGACCGTCCGAACAAAATAAGGAAACTTGTGAAAGCGTAGTTTATGGATAGAAGAACAAAGGTGTATGGTAACATCAAGTATTAATTTGTTTCATTTTTTTACTTTTACAGATACAAAATCATATTTGTACACAGCTATTGAAAATAGTTTCACCACACGTTAAAGAAAAACTATTACAAAGTGCTTCCTTGATTGTATGAGCTCCAATAAAAGTCAATTTAATAATATACTTGAAAACATATTTTTCTGTGGTATCCTCTTTGTTGTTTTCAGTTTTAAATAATATGGCATATAAGTCTTATGTGTGAGCAGCGGGTATAAGATAACTAACTGTTACTTGAATTGTGTTGTTGTTTTTAAAAACATGATAAAAGTAGAATCATAAATAGAAGAATCAAATAACAACAATAAAAACACTCGGTGGTCGAGTGGAGACGTGCACCTGCTGGCATGCTAGCAGACGCGGATCGAATCTCAGGTGTGGAAGGCATTTTTCTCAAATATAAAAATATCAGGTGTAATTTGGGTTGCATATATGAATTGCAACGAAATATAAGAGAAATTGAAATACAAATGAATGCAATATAAGAAGAAATAAGAAAGCAAGAGCAAGTGTAGAAACGGAGAACAGAGAAATAGAAGAAGAAGGAGTAGTAGTAGAGAATAGGAGAAGATAGAAGGAAGAGAACAGTAGAGTAGAGAAGAGGAGGAGATAGAAGAAAGAGAACAGAGGAGGAATCAGATTTTTAATTTTTTTGGCACGTGTCGTTATAAGACAGTCTACTGCTTCGGTGCCTCCATTGCTCCCGGCCCAACCTACAGCTACGATGTCTCTGCGCTTCATCCCCGAAATTATCAGGCATATCAACAATTTTTATGGTGGGGGATCACCCCCAGAGAGAGGGAACTCCTTATAAGGACAATCCTTATAAGGTCTTGTAAAAATATTTCTAAGTTTTAAGTCGCCTCAAGAGAGGTGACACTTAAAAATATTCTTACCAGATCTGACCTGTAGCTGAAATGAAAGAAGGAGCACATAAATCACACAGGATACCTTAACAATTTTTATAGTGGGGATCATCCCCTGAGAGAGGGAACTCTCTTAGAGACCTGTTACTGAAATGATAGAAGAAGTACACAAATCAAAGAAGTCAATATATTTTACTATTTCTTTATTAACAATAGAATACAAGTTTATATTTTACAAGTCAACAGAATACATGTCGCCATATTGAAACAGGTCTTACGACCTGCCTAGCCGTCGCAAGCAAGTTACTTCGCAAAGTACTACCGGGATAAAGAAATTAAGAAATAAACCATTTTCTGCGTGAGTATGGGAACAAATATACAGGGTGTTACAAATAGAAAATTCAGCAAGTTACACTTCGCAAAGTACTACCGGGATAAAGAAATTAAGAAATAAACCATTTTCTGTGTGAGTGAAAATGGGAACAAATATACAGGGTGTTACAAATAGAAAATTCAAAGTGCAAAGAAGAAAACCCTAAAACAACAACTAAAGCTAAATTTTCACGGACAACAAGAAAAACAAATATACAGGGTGCTACAAAAAGGAAATTAGTACATCACAAAAAGAAAATCAATAGTACAAAAAAGAAAATAGGAAATCAAGAAAAACAAACATACAGGGTGATACAAACAGGAAATGCCTAAATTTAAAAATAAAATACAAAGTTTAAGTAGAAAACGACCCAGAAACGACAAATTTAGTCAGTTTTACACTAGAACGCAAGGAAAAGTAGAACATAAGGTGATACAAGAAGAAAATTGCTACATTTTACAAATATATTACAAATATTTTACAAATATATTACTCTCAATAATTAATTGCCAAACTACGAAAATACGTTAAAGAGCCGGCAGATTTATGAAATAAAAATAAAAATGCAAGCAAGGAAAATTTCACGTTAGTAAACCGATGATTGACATGACCATACTCTGCGGGTAGATCCAAGTCGCATCCGACGGCACGCATCAATTTTGTGTTGTTACGGTATTCACGTTACATGCAATTTTAGATAAATATGAAAGTATAATGTAATAACGTTTACAAACTTACCAGTGCATCAGGTAATCATAGAAAGTACTGAAACAAAAAAACAACACGTGTGTGAGAACTCGCACTATGATGAACACTTATTTAAATTTGTTCAATTTTCCCGGAATATCCTGCCAAGGACAGTCGTTAATTACACTTACTTAAAATTACGAATAGGATACATATTTCTAAAACCAATTCACAACATCGAAATAATCCAATAGCCGACACGCACATGGAAACACCAGTTTTATAATCATTTTACGTGTAAATCATCCTTAGCAAAACAATCTACATGTCTGTTGTCATTAGGTGCCGTTAGAAATGCTCATTTTTAATCAATAATAAAATGTAATGTTATCGGAATGAATGAAAGAATGATGCCGAGCCGCGTGCAGGTAAGAACAGACTGAAGCGGTCGAACGTTCGTAGCATGAGAGGCAGCATTGCGCACGTTTATAGCGATATAAAAACTTGTTTATACACAAACCCCGATATGCGTGTAGAATTGAAATAGCACATTTCTGAAGTGCACTAAAATAAAATAAAATATAATAATTCATTACATCAGTTGTTAATTTCAGCATTCGGTTCGCGCGGTATACTAATGAAACTACGAGTACTATTCACACAACTATCATTATAACTCGCGTAACGGAATCTTCTCGCAATAAATTTCAATACAGGGAAATAAAGAATTAAATTCCGCATCTGGGAAAATCAATCCGAACTTAGTTTAAGACCGCGTTCGCGTGTTATAATATTAAGAAAGTACAATTCCTAGCGCAACGAGTACTATTGCGTATATGCGTATACACACAAATATCATTATAACTCGCGTTACGGAATTTTCTCGCAATAAACTCAAATACAGGGTGATAAAGAATTAAATTCTGCATCTGGGAAAATTATTCCGAACTTACTTTAACACCGCGTTCGCATGTTATAATAAAAACCACAATTCCTTGGCATTTTTTCTTAAGAATTAAAATTTCATCTTTCAGATTTCCCTTCTACCTATCCTATCTGATAGAGAATAGTCCGTAGATTAAGACGCTGCGATCAGATCTTATTTATCTCTTTTAGTTTACGAGATATTCGCGATTGAATAAAATGGGTAAAAATTGATAAATGTCACTTTTATGCACTTTTAGTCGCGTTTTTCGACCTTTTACTCTAGAAAATATAATTATTTTATATTTTTATCTGAAAGAGAATTTTCCAATCTTTCATAATCAACAATTCGTTGGTAGCTATCGCTTTTGTTTAAGAGATATGAATTTTTGAAAATCGTCGAAAAAAGTATCAAGCACCCCCTTGGCAATTTTTTCTTAAGAGTGAAAATTTTATCTCTCAGATTTCCGTTTTAACTATCGTATCTTATAGAAAATAGTCCGTAGATTACGACGCTGCGATCAGATCTTATTTATCTCTTTTAGTTTACGAGATATTCGCGATTGAATAAAATGGGCAAAATTGATAAATGTCACTTTTAGCACTTTTAGTCGCGTTTTTCGACCTTTTACTGTGAGAAATATAATTATTTTATATTTTTATCTGATAAAGAATTTTCCTATCTTTCATAATCAATAATTCGTGGGTTGCTATCTCTTTTAGTTTAAGACATATGAATTTTGAAAATCGTCGAAAAAAGTATCAAGCACCCCTTGGCAATTTTTTCTTATGACTTAAAATTTTGTGTCTCATATTTCTCTTTAACTATCCTATCTGATAGAAAATAGTCCGTAGATTAAGACGCTGCGATCAGATCTTAATTATCTCTTTTAGTTTACGAGATATTCGCGATTGAATAAAATGGACAAAAATTGATAAATGTCACTTTTAGCACTTTTAGTCGCGTTTTTCGACCTTTACTGTGAGAAATATAATTATTTTATATTTTTATCTCAAAGAGAATTTTCCAATCTTTCATAATCAACTATTCGTTGGTAGCTATCGCTTTTTGTTTAAGAGATATTAATTATCAAAAATCGACGAAAAAAGGATAAAGCACCCCCTTGGCATTTTGTTTCTTAAGAATTAAAATTTCATCTCTCATATTTCTCTTTTAACTATCCAATCTTATAGAAAATAGTCCGTAGATTAAGACGCTGCGATCAGATCTTATTTATCTCTTTTAGTTTACGAGATATTCGCGATTGAATAAAATGGGCAAAAATTGATAAATGTCACTTTTAGCACTTTTAGTCGCGTTTTTCGACCTTTACTGTGAGAAATATAATTATTTCATATTTTTATCTGATAGACAATTTTCCAATCTTTCATAATCAACAATTCGTGGGTTGCTATCCCTTTTAGTTTAAGAGATATGAATTTTTGAAAATCGTCGAAAAAAGTATCAAGCACCCCCTTGGCAATTTTTTCTTAAGAGTGAAAATTTTATCTCTCAGATTTCCGTTTTAACTATCGTATCTTATAGAAAATAGTCCGTAGATTACGACCCTGCGATCAGATCTTAATTATCTCTTTTAGTTTACGAGATATTCGCGATTGAATAAAATGGGCAAAAATTGAGAAATGTCACTTTTAGCACTTTTAGTCGCGTTTTCGACCTTTACTGTAGGAAATATAATTATTTTATATTTTTATCTGATAGACAATTTTCCAGTCTTTCATAATCAACAATTCGTTGGTAGCTATCGCTTTTGTTTAAGAGATATTTATTATCAAAAATCGTCGAAAAAAGTATCAAGCACCCCCTTGGCAATTTTTCTTATGACTTAAAATTTTGTGTCTCATATTTCTCTTTTAACTATCCTATCTGATAAAGATTACTCCGTAGATTAAGACGCTGTGATCAGATCTTAATTATCTCTTTTAGTTTACGAGATATTCGCGATTGAATAAAATTATACCTAACTCACTATAACACCGCGTTCGCTTAAATACAAACCAATGTACGATGCAGAAATTAAAACGAAATATATAATTGAATTATAAACTTACCAATGCAGAACTCATCGGACTCCAAGGCACTGCAAATACTGGAAATAAAAAAAGAAAACATATGTTAAAACAAAAATATTTCATATAATTTAGTAATATTATAATCACACAGTGGAGAAAAACAAACAATCTGCGATGTTTATTTAAAACTTACTTGCAGCTGCACGATGGGTCATCCAAATGATGAATATCAAATCAAGATGGGGCGATATGTATCCGATGCACCCAGCAACTCGACATCTTGTAGGTTACGTTATACACTTAACCGGAATTTATTGGATAATAAACGTGCAAACAGTAAATAAGATTACTGTAGTCGCAAGTAAAAATTAAATAGTCGATTGAAGATCGAATACGAGAATAATGCAAATTTGGAAAGTAGAAGTCCGGATAAACAATACGAGGCACGTGAAATACGTCTGGACCAACCAGAGACCGGCACGAAACTGGCTACAAACAGTGCAAGCAACAACGCGACAGTTTATGACAAGAAAGCAATAGATGCGCAAAGCCGGCGGCGCGTCGAAGGCACGCGACCTTGTGTGCGAATTGCACGTTCTTATTGCAATAAGAACTAAACTAAAATATGCTGCATGCGACAGCGCGACGACAATCTTACGCGTAGCATCTCGCACGGCGAATGCGATAAGAAAGTTGTTTATACACAAACGCTGATAATAGAACGGTCTTCAAACTAATACAATTCTATTTTATGATTTGGCCATCTATAAATGATACAATTAGTAATCCCACAATTTAGATCAAGTATTGAAATTAATGATAAATTAAAATTCGGTTTATGTAATTCTAAACGGAACTAAACTGGAATCTTGGTACACGGCAAACAAATTCTATAAATGAGCCGCTTATTTTGAAAGTGACCTAACTCCGTTTTTCAATTTTTGCCGGTTACCATGGTTACATGTACAACTTCATGTTATTTATCAGTGACGCACTTCAGATTGCTTATATTCAGAGAAAATACGGTACATTTTTACACATAGGTTTTCCGAATTAATTGAATAACTGACCCGTGTGGTTTGAAAGTGGCCTAACTCCATTTATAGTTACATCAAGGTATTTATTATTGATAATGTCGGAAAGCAGCGATGAAGGTCATTTCAATTAATTAGTATTTACAAGTCCACCTCATTTTTGGGACAATTGCGTTAGTTAATTAACCTGTACGTTTAATTAATATAAAATTTAAAATTTAATATTAAATTATAGAAATTATTGCAAGCATGAGGAAGAACCGAAGAAGACCACTTAGTTCAGATAGTGAAAAGAAATAGTAATTAATAATTTAAAAAAAGCGAATAAGAAAAAGAGTTATAAAATAATATTCCTCGTCAGAGGATGAAGATTCAAATAACAATGGAGAAAAGATTGATGCACCATATATCCAAAAAGTGCGAAAGATAAAACGGAATTCAGGAAAAAGATATTGCAGTTAAACCGGAAGTATTGTTCATGAAAAAAATTTCGAACCAAAGATTGTGGTTGTCGGAATGCGTGCACAAAAATTATAATGAAGAAGAAAGAAAGAATATTTTTGAGAAGTTTTGGGGTTTGGCAGATTTTAACAAACAAAATGTATTACTTCACGAAGCTGCCTGTGAAACGAAGACGTTTTTTCTTCAATTTGAAACATCTTAAATTATGTTGAATGGACTTGGGCATCTTCAAATTTTATAATGAATCTGGCTGTTAATTTTGAAAGTGGCCCAACTCCATTCTTGATAAGGAAACGCACGTTATTTACTTAATAATTGCCACTACTTTAACAGGAACAGTAAATTAACATCCTAAGATACGCTTAAGCAGTATGACTCCTTTGTATCTTATACGTATATTTTAAATTCATTGAAACGCAAAACTTTCAATATCTCGATTTGAAGATAAATGGAGTTAGGCCACTTTCAAAATAAGCGGCACAAATAATGAAATTATTTTACTTACTGGTCTATCGCACACGCTAAATCGACAGCAAATTGGTAGATTCTGAAATACAAGAGAAACAAAACATTAGTTACAGCATATCGTGACTTATTGAAATAAATCAGAGTTCCGTCGGAACCCAATTTATGAATTAAAATTCCTGTTATTCGTATAATAATGATAGGAATGACAATATTTACCAGGTAGCACACTCCATGCTCCTTTGTTGATGACACAAATGTTTTGCACAGTTAATTAATTTATTGGCGTGCACAAAATATGGCTGGACGTCGCCCGACGGCAACGGATTCACAAACCCGTGAATAAATAAAACACAAAAAAATTTGAATCACGAAGACTATACACGCAATAAATAGGCGATAACAGATCGAACACGTTTATTAACACTAATTATCACCGGCGATCAGGAAATATAACGCAATTTAGCCAGTTTACATCAAAGAATAACACAAGCCGAAAGTGTGGAATGTTTGCTCGTCGTTATCGCACCGATGCAACAAAACAAAATACACTTGTTGGAATATTTCCGAGTTAAACCTGCATCGTCGCGCCATCTGAGGATACTTTATGGTACCACACGAAAATACAAAGTGTTTCAAACAGTGTGGCGCGCATGTGTGTCAGTGCGGAATTGTCTATGAGGCAGTGAGTGGTCACGCACTTAGATGGCAGCGTCCGTGTGTACACGTACACGAATGTGTGCATGCACCACCCTATCTAAATGAATGGCATATTTGCGTCAAAACACAATGACTCAAATCTAGATGGCCATAGAATGCTCTTATTTATTCGTGTCAAGGAAATACAAAAAACTGTTAGAAAAGTAGTTTCTGGCAGGATTTAAGCACAGCGAATGAGAATATGCAATTCATATATTTACATAATATTTCCTTAAGAACATTTAGAACAAATAGACCCCAAATACCCAAGACTTTACATCTACCATATCCAGTCATGAATGTTACCCCAGAGTACCTAACTCTAGATATAGAATGAAAAACAAGAATGAATTGAATTTAGAAAAGACATTTTGATATTGTTTTTATTGCAGAATTATTACTTCAAGAAGACAAGTTTCATTTTGAGCTGGATATCTACACCGTGTCAGTAAATACATTTGTTTAATCATAACCTCCTTGGTGTTAGTATTGCTATTGCGTTTGCAATAAAACTACGGTGAGATTCGTTAAATCAACCAAACTTGAACCACTGATTAGCACATATTGTAACAATTTCCAGCAATGGTACTGACGGAGAATGAAGCAACAAAACGTGACAAAAATGACGCACAATCCCAGAACAAAGTGGACAAAAAGGACAAGCCTGCAACTAAGGTTGTAATCAGGAGACTACCACCATCAATGACCCAGGAAGAGTTTCTGAATCAAGTCTCTCCAATCCCAAACTACAATTACATCTACACCATCAAAGGGGACAACTCCCTGGGTGGGAATGCATTTGCCAGAGTGTACGTAAATTTCACAAATCAAGAAGACATTTACATTTTTAAGGAAAAATTTGACAACTATGTCTTCATTGATGGAAATGGTCATGAATATGCTGCAGTTGTAGAATATGCCTCATTCCAAAAAGTTCCCAAGAAACGCAAACAACGCGCTGATTTAAAAACAGCCACCATTGAATCTGATCCAGCTTACATAGCATTCCTGGAATCATTGATTGAACAACCCAATCAGGAGGAGAAACCAGAGTACAATCTGAATTTGACAAACACAGAGAATAAGAATGATATGACCACACCTCTGTTGGATTATTTAAAACAAAGAAAAGTTGAGAGATTGCGTGTGCGTGAAGAAAAACGCGAAGAACGACGCAAAAAAGAACAGGAAAAGAAGAAATTACGAGAAGAGGATAGGAAGAAACGACTAGACGAAAAGAAACAGAAAAACGTTGCCAAAAAGGAGCAGAAAGAACGCGATAACGAGAAAGAAAATAAAAATAACACTGAGGAACTTAACTTTAAAGAAACAGATGAAGATTTAGTTTCGGTGGAAGCTAAACCATCAACTGCAGAAACAAAAAAAGAGAAGGTTGACCCAAAACCAAAACAAGAGAAAACATTTAAAAACAAAAAATATGACGATAAAGACAAGAAGAAGAATAAATTCAAGTTCGAGGATCGTAACAGGGATGTAAAACAACAACGAGAGCAACATTTCCGCGTTGAGAACACTCCAAAACCGGAAGTTAAATGTGAGCAACAGAAAAAGGTGAAGAAATACAGCGAACGTCGTGAGGAACGCAAAATCGTCGAAGCTTCCAAAGAAGAAGCCAAACGCGCCGCTGATAACGGCGAAAAACCAGAAACCAAACCAGAAGTTAAAAAGCATGCCAAAAAATCGGACAACACACAGAAGGATGAAGATGGTGAATGTTCGGGACGAAAACCAAGGGAAAACGACCCGAGAACCCAGCGTAGGATTCGTAACAAGGACCGTCCAGCAATGCAAATCTACAAACCCGGCATGCTACGGAAAAAATCCGTTGACAACGATAAAGATGTCGTCGTAGAAGAAAAACACGACAACCCAGAAGATTAATTCTTAATTTTTTTCGCTTTTGTTATTAATACAAGTGTTAGTCTTATAAAAACGCTCACACAGATCACCAATGTCTTCATATTGTTTAAAACACCCACGAATCTTCCCTTCATATCCTTCTGGGCTGTAGGAAATGATTTCGGTTAATTTTACATCGTTTATATTCCCACTGGCGTCTATCATCCCAAAATGTGCAAACATGCATTTCGGTAGACATTTATATCCCGGATGTTTTAATCTTGCGATTAAATCCAGGTTCGGGTCGGATTCCGCGCCCAATTCTTTGGCGCAAGCAATAATCTGCTCAGTTTTGCTTGGTAGAACCATAATTACGACCAGTAACAGTAGCAACATTTTATTTTTTGGTGAAATTTGACTCATGACAGCTTTTTAAGTAACCATTGCGAAATTCCAAGGCACTCATGACCTTTTTACCGGGAACACTTAGTTTATCTACGTGTATCCACCCGTCTAACGCGCGAATACTTATTAGTTTAGTGTTTTTATCATAAACTACACTCCCAATTGTTTTAGCATCATCTGTGCACGTATAACTTGCAATATTATGTAATTTAATAGGCTTACCTTTATAACTGGTCACAAGTGGGTAGACACCGGTCAGGGCGCGACTCAAATTGTATAAATCTTTGGCTTTCTGCTGAGTGAAATCGATGTCGGCCATTTTGGAATTTATACGCGGTGCTATAACAAAAAAATTTCATATTTTTTTTTTTTAAGTTAAAAACTGAATTTATAACATACCGAGTGTAGCAATGTGTGAATCTTGTATCCTGGCTGTTTCTAGAATACTTGGTGAATGTTTTAAAACATCTAGAAGGTTTTTAGCACCAATTTTCGCGAGTGAATCGTGCAATTCTGGCATTTTTATTTGTTCATCAATAGAAATTTCTTCTTGGTGGATTATCTCACCGATGTCAAACTTGTGCGGACGTATCTTCATGATTGTTATACCTGTTTTAGTATCACCTGCTGCCAGTGCATGGATTATTGGAGCTGCACCCCTCCATCTTGGCAGTAAACTTGCATGAACATTTATCATCCCACTGTAAATTAACCATAAAATTTTAAATATAAACAAATAAATAGTATATATATGCTTACAGTGGAAATGCTTCTATTATATGCTTGGGAATTAAATTTCCAAATGAAACAACAACTCCAACTAGAAATTGTTTGCATGTTTCTTCGGGTGAGTGTAATGGCCAGTTGTGAATTGGAATTTGATGATGTTCAGCATACTTTTTTACATAACTATTGTTAGAAGTGGTTACTACCTCTAATTTTCTTATAACCTGACTAGTTTTTTCTCTAAAACAAAACAGGAATTAGATTTTATTTGTGTTTTTATACTGGGCTGCATACTTACAATGATGATTTGTGAAGAGTTTTAAGACTTTCTAAAGAGAAGTTATCCGTGCCAAAGAATAACACATCCCATGGAGGCTTCAAAGAAGTATGTGAATATAATCTCTGATACGTATTAATTAATATCTTTCTGTGATTATTTAATAAAAGAAGTCTCATTGCAGTGTGTTGAAATTTGTTGGTTAGTACTATAGTTAAAAAAGTGGGAAAGCATACAAAGTTGCCTATAGTGATTCAATATTAAAATACAAAAATTGTAATATAATTGCGTAACAGCAATGTTTTAACTGTAAAAAAAGGGTACATAAATTAATATTAACATCCAGTTGATTTATTGAACGTATTTGATTCTCACAGATCATCGATTTGATGTTCTCTTTCAATATAAAACGAATAAAAAATTGCACAGTAAATTGGAGAATACAAAATGTAAATCTCGCTGATTTTCCTCTTTGAAAATAGTTGTGTTTTTCTTGTTTGTTGTTTGGTTACAACGCGGACGAAACAAAACTACGTATTGTTGATTCTCACATGATATGAAAATAAATTTGCGATTTGAGTATTTGCGTTGTTCCAGCGCGCACACATAATTTGTAATTTTCACATCGTAATCGATAGGAACCGTCATATAGTCGTCTATGGTTTATATAAAATAAAACTTCTTAAACAAAAAACAAACAAACAAACCAACAAAGACAAAATATTTGCGTACGACACGTTGTGATCGAATAATAAAATTTGATTATGATAATATTACACATATAAATTCTAATATATTTAATTTACCATAAATCTATCATTTGTTTCGTATTATTACTAATTACGTTGCGTTAAATGTATTCAAAACTTCACTTGAGTTTCTGTTGTTTGTTTAAAGAGACGATCACAATGAAGAGAAAAACTTAACTTAGATATCTATCAACTCATCCCTAATTTGCACGCGCACATCACAATCATATATCGCACATTGAGTAATAAATTAATTACTGCTGCAGTTCAATTCAACACGTTTACCACCCTTCTTCATCAGCGGCGGAGGTCACCGACGCGCAGCAAACTTCACCTCTTCGACATTCAGCAAGCGCTTCACTTTGTCCGTGTACTTAACTAAAAAAATCTTCGAGAGGCGCGTGTTGAGCTTCTCGTTGGCGTGCATAAATTGACAACAGTGGGCCTTCTCGAGGAACTCGGCCATTTTCATCTCGCGCACCAGGTCGCTCTTCGTCGGCGAGGCAATGTTCAATTGACGCAGGAGGGTTTCCTTCGATTTTATTTTCAGTGCATTGGATAAATCGGGTAGAATCATCCAACGCTCATTGGTTTCACACTCGGGCAGGATGTACAAATTAGGTAGGAGGTGTTCGGACACCTCAAATTCCACATCTTCAGCTTCCGAAGTTGGATCGGATTCGGGTACATCACAAAGTGGATCAAAACCTTCATTATCACCATCTAAAAATCAATTATTATTAAAACTCATAAAAAACTAAAAGTTAATGAAAATCTCACCAAAAATACTGGCAGGACCACTAAACGTCCATGGCATATGCGATTTGCCTTGCAATTCATTCAAATGTTCTTGTAAAACCGCAATAGTTGTATCGTCACTCGCAAGTTGCAGCGGAGTGGTACCACTATAAGTCGCCAAAGATGGATCCGCACCGTAGGAAAGCAGCAGACGAATAATTTCAACATAACCATTTTCAGCTGCTTCATGTAAAGGCCTAAAATAAATAAAAAGATTAAAATTTGTTTCATTTTAAGCTAAAAACAACAAATATCAAGTGTACCTTATTCCGCCATGTGCAGATTCACTAACTTGTGCGCCATATTGCAACAATAGCCTTGCAATATCCAAATGTCCTTTTGAACAAGCCTCGTGCAGAGGAGTATAGCCAGCGTTGTCTTTCGGGGACGGATTACACATCATTTTCTCCAAACAATACGCAGTTATATCCTAAACAACAAAAATTAAATTAAAACACATAAAAATTACAGTTTCCTGTAATTTTTCACTTACAGTGTAACCAGATCGTGATGCCCGATGCAGATGCGTCTCCCCAACACCTTTATTAAGCACCCATTGCTTAATCTCCTTCTGGATATCATCCACAGACTCAGGCGTCGCTTTCGACGGTATACCACGTCTCTTAACCTTGACAGCATCTTCGGCACCCTCCTCCTTCTTAATCTGCTTCTTCTTCTTGCGGATATAATCAAAACCAGAGCTCAGCTTCCTCCTCAGTTTGTTCTTCTTACGACCACTACCAATTTCTATACTATCATTGCTTATCACTGTAATATTATCATCTTCCTTCTCCTTCTTAATACTCTCCACGTTGATTTCCAGCTTTTTGCTTTCAATGGCCTTGATGAGGACATCATTAAACTCCTTTTTCAACTGGTTCTCCTTATCACCCTTTGAAGGTTCATCGGGTTTCAGCTCATCGACACAGGTCACAGGCGGGGCTGATGCTGGTCTATCCTCACCGAAAACCTCCCGAATGGTCGCCTTCTCCTTTAGAACCCTCGTCTCCGTGCGGGTGCGTGCCTTTAACACCACCGTATTGAATTCATTCACACCCACAATCTTATTCGAGTTGTTAATGAAGGTATCCTTGAAATTCTCGATGGTTTTCTTCCGGAAACCCAAGAGGGTACCCTTAACAATGACATCTTTGATTTCCAAGCTGGGAGTAGGCAGGAGTTCACTTTCCGACTTTGGGATAATCTTAGGACCCAAGAGTTCATCTTTTCTCCGCTTGCGTTTCTTCGCCCCAACCCGCACCAGCAGTTTATCCAAAATAGAACACTTACTGCTGAAACTCTTCATAGATCCCTGATCGCTGTCGTAATGCTTCGAGAAACTAAAACTACAATTAGAGTCCATATCACTGTCGAGGCTTTCCGTTTTCGGCGCTGGCGAAATGGGACACGGGTCCAAATCCGGAAGAGACGTACTTAAACGTTGCGAACTCGGCGGGCGTGTCACCTGAATCAACTGCATTGGTATCCGGATAGATTTTTTATACCTATAAAGTGCATCTTCCCATCCGGGCCGGAAATCTGACCCATCTCCAAAGGTGGGCTTCTTTCCGGGTTTACAAATCGCAATCGGGGATTTCAGGGAAGCATAGAAGTCCTTTTGAGGTGGTAAACTCCTGGAAAACTTCTCCACTTCACTATCACTACTAGCAGCTGCTTCCTTAGCAACCTTTTCCTTTTTACTAAATTTCTTCTTCTGTTTACTCGCAATATGCACCAGAGGTGTATCAGAATCTGTATCAGACTTGGGGTCAACCACTAGTTTAACAATTTTATCATCCTCTACAGGTTCCTGTTTTATTACCACCACTGGAGGTACCACAGGCACCACCTCATCTTCAATAACTTCCTTTTTGATTTCTGTCTGAATTAAAGGTATGTTCTTCTCTGGTGTTTCGTTATCATTCACATCTTCCTTTTTTCTACGTCCACGTTTCTTGCCGGTGCCACCCATCAACTGCTCCACAAAACTATCACAAGTCTGATTAAACAGCAAACTAAACGGACTCGACGCTCGTTCCCCATCATTACCAGGAATATTATCCAGCACAAAACTCTCCGAATTCATTACTTTGTTGGCACCTGGCGCAACCACCTTACTCCTATCCTTACGAATATTCAACACTGGCATATCCTGCTCTTTATCGCTATCCGGAAAGTCAAACACACTCGTCTCCGAAGAACTGCGCACCTCACTGCGTTTCATCTCATTCCTCCCAAAGAGTTTCTTCGGAACCACCATTGGACTGGGACTCATCCTGGCGACATCCTTCTTCAATTTAGGAGGTGAGACATTACTACCGTTATTATTACTGGTCGCACCCGCAGCGGTCACATCATTCGAGGTAACCTGCTTGAGTTCCGCCTTGGTACGAATGCGTGCCGCTAGAAACGCCGCCAGCCCATCCAGATCACCACCCATGGAAGCCTCGTGCTCCTTCTCGCCCTCATCGGAAATTATCACAGAATCAATCGCCTTCGGGATGTGAAACTTGTACGTTGGTGGTGTGTTCGAATTGCGCTCGAGGCTAACCGCTGTAAACGGCGAGACATTCCTCCTGCCCACAATACCAGGTTTCGGCTGGAGGGGTGCCATTACATCCGTCGACGGTTGCAGCACCTCCTGCTCCAGATACGATCTGGTAGGTTGATCAGGTGTGGGTTTCTTCACACCTTTATTCTGTAAACTAGTACGGAGAAGATTGAGTACCTTTTTGGTAGCTGGTGGTTTCGTGCTGGTCGCTTGTTTGGGTATATTAGTATTATTATAGTAAGGATATTGTGGTTGTGCTTGGAGTTGATAATGCGTTCCATTGGGTGTAGGTGTCCCTGGATCAGGATTAACATCCTGTCGTGGTTTGGAATACGAACTCAGACGTTGCTCAATCTGCAGATCCATTTTCTGCCGCCACGTATCCACCTTATTATCTTTGGGGATTTTCTCCGGAATGGTTGATGGTGTGGCATGTTCCAGGGAGCGCTTGCGCTGCTGAAAATCAAACTCGACCTTCGGCAGACTTGAGGTAGCATATGGATAGTTGTAATAGTTATTGCTTCGCGTTGGTTGCTGTTGTTGTTGTTGTGGATGATGTCTTGGTGGTTGCACTTGTGGTACCTCCTGTTGCATGGTAAAATTCGGCGAAAAGTCCACTTTGGGTGCCCGAGCCAAATAATGCGTGGGATGCGCAGGTAATTCATACCTACCACCAACCGGAGGTCGATAATGACGTTCATCATCACCCAGAGTGGAATCCGCCAAAGTCCTCACAGTTTTCACTGACAAATCCAGCGGACTTTCACGTTTAACCTTAGGTACCGGCATGGAAAGAGCCACTGGTACCGTCTGTGTTTTCGTGGGACGTTGAGGATAATTGGTAACACTCGGCGGATGCGGAGTATTCACATAGGTGGCCCTGGAGACCGTGGACGTGGAGGTACCACTAGCATAGTTGCCATTTGGATAGTTCCCATACGTGTGGGGCGGAAAGGAGCTGGGGACACCATTATACGTCGCCTTATTCGAATTCTGTACAACTTGTGCCCTACCAGTACCACTACCAGATTGGTAAAGATTACTAGCGTGAACTGGTAGATGCCTACGTTGTGTGGTACCCCACCACCACCACCACCAGCAGCAGATTGCTGTAATGGTTGCTGGGGTAATAATTCTGCGAGGTGTACTTGTAATTGTACTGATCCTGACTAGAACCACTACTAGTACTATTCCGAGGAGTGTAAAACGTGGTACCCGGATAGGAATACAACCTGCTATCATTATTCTGTGCTGGAGGTTGTTGCGGTGTTGAATTCACACCTGTAGCCGACACCGGTTGCCGACTACTACTCTGCAACTCGTAGTAGGTTTTCGTTGTCGAGGGTACCGGCACCGACGAGATATGTGAATGCGGGTGATACTGACCCAAACGGGCTGCTGTGGGACCTCTCACACTACCACCACTGACAACAATTTGCTGTTGTTGTGGTGGTGGCGGTGGATGGTGTTGCTGCGGATGCGGGTGATGGCTCATGGTGAGTGGGGCATCGCGATTCGTGAGATTGGCGGCCGCCTGCCCTTCATTCTGCTGATCCCAATAGACGGGCACGGCCGAGTGCTGCTCCGAGCGCACGCTGCCGTCATTCTCAGCCGCCGGCGCCGCGCTCGACGCCGCCGGCAAGCCCTGGAAGTATTGTCGTGCGCCCTTCAGTACGTTCGTAAACGATTCGTAATCCATCACACGCAGGCGTCGAGTCCTGCGCTATCGCCGCTTCTGCAAAACAAGAAAAAAAGCATGTAATCAACGTTTTAGAAGCAAGTAAATAAAAAACGAAAGTGTTACATGTGTGTGTTGATCATGATAATACATTTACACACAAGCTGCCACTGGTACGCGACGCAACCGGAAAGCAACTGTAAATATAGCGGGACAAAGTGGGGCTAACGGCGTTTTGTGCTCTTTGCTTTAATCGCGCCGGCGACGCGGCCGCGAACCGAACCGCGAATAACAATACCCAGCGCGCGAGCGCACGCTACACGTGTGAGTGCATCGTATGCATGTGCACGTGCAATTATTGCGGAATGCCCAAGAAGATACAGAGAATAAAATTCGAGTCATCAAGTCATTAGTCATCGTAAACGCGTTAATTACGGCATTTATTTTGGGATTTTTAGGTCATCATTTCATTTTTAGAAAGAAAAATTCAACAATTTCCACATTATTAATTAATATTTTCATCTAAATCAATTTTTAAATGAAATTAAAGAAGAAATGACAAAATGTTGCGAAATTTAAAACAGAAAATGCGATGTTTTACTTGATTCATGTTTTGTGCTATAAATTTGCTTATAACTTTTGAAATAATTTATATTTTTAAATGATATTTACAGAGATTGTAAAAATATACGTATTTAATACATGTACCAAATTTGAATGACATATGGTCAAAAACAACAAAATGGCGACGTTTTGAAGATTAAATGTTGCAATTTTAAGCATTTTTTGTTATAAAGTTGCTTATAACTTTTAAATTAATTTATATTTTCAAATGATATTTACACAGATTGTAAAAATATACGTATTTAATACATGTACCAAATTTGAATGTCATATGTTCAAAAATAACAAAATGGCGACGTTTTAAAGGTGTCAATCTAAAAAATATTCAAATTTCTTGGTTTTAAATTGAAAGTCATCGAATTTAACGACCTAGAAAGAAAGAAATACCAATACAAAACAAAAGAGGGCGGGAGAAGACCCTAGATAACTGTTTATACCAGCGTGCGACCCGCAAAACGTGGTGGGGGTACGCTACGCTCTCCCTGTAGTCTGCTACAAGGGGTACGCCTGGTTCTAGACCTAGACCTATCATAAAGCAAACTAAAACCTTCCACTTCAAGATGTTTTCATTTCAATTGCGCGTTATACGATTTGGAAAACTTTCACATCGTGTGAAAGTCGTATGAATGCGTCGTGCGATGAACTTGCGAGTCCTCAACTCCGCACTCCTCAGCAATTTAAACAAAATAAGCGTAAATCCATTTTTAATCACCCAACTTTATATTTAATAAGTGATTAGTGCGGTATGTTTGGTTATGATATGAAAAATCTATTTGATTTTCTTTTATCTCACAAGTCTAGTAATTATTTATCAATTACTACCAAGTTTAAATAAAATAGAATTTTATTTCATCTTTAAAACGTCGCCATTTTGTTATTATTGAATATATGGCATTCAAATTTGGTACACATATTATATACGTATATTTTTACAAATTGTGTTAATATGATAATAAAATATAAATTATTTTAAAAGTTATAAACAAATTTATATGAAAAACACCAGCAAAATGCCTTTCCTTATCTTTAAAACGCCGCCATTTTGTTATTTTTGAATATACGTCATTCAAATTTGGTACACTTATTAAATAGGTATATTTATACATTTTGTAAAAATATCACGTTAAAATATTAATTTGATCAAAAGTTATACGCAAAGTTATAACAAAAACACAAATTAACAATAAAATGCATTTTTAATCTTAAAAACGCTGCCATTTTGTTATTCTTGAACATACGTCATTCAAATTTGGTACACTTATTAACCACATATACCTTTACAATCTGCCTGAATATCACCTTAAAATATTAATTATTTCAAAAGTTATAAACAAATTTATAAGAAAAACAAATTGATATAAAAACCTATTTACTTTGTTCATCTCCCAATTCTACTAATCATATTATCAATTATATCAAAATCTAAATAAAAATAGATAACGCATTCTTCGAAAATTCAAAATATTATACCGATATAAATACATCGCATCGCAGTAATGTTAATGTTTCGTCTAACTGGAATTCTTTCGCTTCACGCAACTTTCTCTCAGTGTTTCGCAATGTTTCAAGACTTCAAACTTTTGGCCACGGTTACGCGCTCGTAAAAGTTTCAAGTCTACGACCAACAAAAAAACAGAAACATAAAAACCAATAATTACCTTTCCGTCGATGATTGTATAATCCGAAAAAGTCTTCATACTGTTCCACTTTGTCCGAAAATCAAAGTCCTTTCACACACACACACACCGCACACTGCGTAGTTAAATAGAGTTCCACCGATAAGAAAAGCTCAAAATAATAGTAAAAAGCACGCGGGGTAAATTGTTTACATTTTCCACTCGGCCACCTTTTAAGCACTCTGATGTTTCGTTGTTTGTCTTGCACACTCGTTACCATCCACCATTTGTGATCCGGAATAAATCTGAAACAAAATAAATGAAATCCTATTAAAATCTATATATTTTCGGTTTGTGTGTGGAAATCACCACGCACTTTCGTCACGCCGCGCTTGTTTTGCTCTTCTTGCGGCGCTGTGGCGGCTTGCATTGCAGCGCAGAGCCGCGCGCTTGCTTGGCGTTCACTGCCTGCCGCAAATTGGGTCAAGTCAAGGCCATAAATAACGCGGCGCGCGTTTATATTATTATTTCTCGTCCGCTACGAGAGCTCGAATCTCGAAAATCGCCACCATCGCCATGTGTCTCGGCGGAAAACTTTCTGTTTATAGCACACACAACACATGCAATTATTTTATTACTAAATTATGCGTTGATTTCGGAGAGTTGAAAGTGAAAAAAAGTTGAAACGTGATGATAACTTGATTGACAACTTCCTAAACTAATAACAAATCATTACAAACTAATAGAATATAATAGTTAGACATGATTTTAATATAAAATATCAAGTTTGTTGTGTTTTTTCAGGACAAAAATAGCGAAAAATACAAGTTTTTGTTTCAAGTCATCGCCATTTTGTTATTTTTAATCGTGCGTCATTCAAATTTGGTACCCTTATTAAATAGATGTATTTGAACATTCTGTGAAGGTATCAGATTAAAATGTTAATTATTTCAAAAGTTATTAGCAAATTTATAGCAAAAAACGTTGAATTCATTTATAATCTTCAAAACGTCGCCATTTTGTTATTTTCCAACCTACATCATTGAAATTTGGTTCAATTATTAACCAAGTATATATTTACAATATGTGTTAATATTATTTTAAAATAATAATTACTTTAAAAGTTACAAGCAAATTTATAACAAAAATACGAATAAAGAGTAAAATTGCACTTTTTGACCTTGAAAACGCCGCCATTTTGTTATTTATGAACATGTGTCTTCCCAATTTGGTACACATATTAAATACGTATATTTCTACAATATGTGTTAATTTCACCTTAAAATATAAATTATTTCAAAAGTTACAAGCAATTTTATAACAAAAAACATGAATTAAATAAAAATATAATTTTTAAACCACCGCCATTTTGTTATTACCCCGCCAATTCCCCCCAAAATATACATACATATTAATTAACTAATTATCCATCACCCTTGTGAAAATCACGCATGAATACCAACTATTATCGATTTTATAAGCAAAAATTCATCACGAAAATAATTCCACACTACTTAAAATGATTAATTTGATAGAAACTTAAATTCTCTCCACCGCGTTATCCGTTATCAATAACAATTATCGCCCGCTGATTAATTGTTTATTTGTTTAGTACATTATCGATTGCGGTCACCTGCGCTCGCGTGGCCTTAACACGTGTAACCAAATTTAATCTCTCTCTCGCGCGCGCGCGCGCAAAACAACCCGCAACCCATATCAGCAACTCGGGTTGAATGTCGTACGCGCGGGCGTTTATGAGGCATGCAAACACGTATGCGGTGTATTGTTGTATCTATAAATAAAGGTAATATTTATAACCGACTCACGAAAATAGCCCGCCGACGACCGACACACTCGACGCCGCTCGCCGTGAACACAACACAATGCTTATAAAACGCGCGCGAGCTACAAACTTGCACTGTGTGTACACACAGCGCACGCAACATAAATAATTTCGCTAACACTTTATTGTAATAGCTCAACCTGCTTCACTATTCATAGTTGTGTTGTCACATCTTTGGTATATACTCGTACATCGATAAAAGACACAAAAATGTTTTCAAATTATGTTTTCACGCAGTAATTTACTAATTACTCATGAATGCGACGCGGTACAACGGTGATTCTTTTATACAGTTATAGAGTATTAAATTCCACACCAAATATTGCATATATTTTGTTGATAGTGATAATAAACAATTATTTATAAACAAAAAAGTGTATGGATTAACTGTAAAACAAATTTCATTTTAATTAACTATAACTTTTGTTGCAACAATCTGATCATGTCCAAATTAATACTGTTAATGTAAAATTTAATTCTGAATCAATATTTGAAATAATTTTGATTCTATCTCAATTAGTTTTCGAGTTATTAATCAAAAACTACGCAACTGACACTAATGCACTTAAATAAATATTTTCATGGATTAATTTATTAATAACTCACGAACGCAACAAGTTA